AGCGGATGATACCTTTGATGCGATCGAGCCCTTGTAGACCTACATCATCAGCGAGCTGCTCGTATAGGTTGATAAAATCTGCGAGGTCGTCCGTGGTGCCGTCAAATTTAGGCGCGTCCGTTGTTCCACGGACAGGCATTCTGGTTCTTGCTGTGGTCATGACAGGCGGTTGGGATATTGCGGGCGCTGAGGTCTTCTGATTGATTGGCGCTTGGTGCGCGTATACGAAGGGAAGGTTTGTTATAACAGTGCCGCCTGGGATTGAAGGCGGCGTGCGCGGGGTTTCGAAGGCTTCTTGCTTGATCTTTGGTATTCCCACTGTAGGAAGCGCGTTCTCGTGCGCGCGGGATACTGGCGCGTTAAGCGGGGTGTTGCTAGAATTGGTTAGCTCGGTTAGCGCGCTTAGCGCTGATAGGTTAGAAGAAATGAAAGGGGGTTGATTGGGCGTGTGGAGGAACGCTCCGGGAAGTTGGCTTCTTGGGTTATCTATTGCTTCGAAGTCGTTGGACGACTCTTCTTTGACAGATTCTTCAGGCGAGAACGTGACTGGCGATATCGGTTGTCTAGGCGCGCGTGCTAAGAGCGCTAGATCTGGTCGTGGCGGTTCTGATACGTTGCGCGAACGACCGTGCGGGGGTTGAAGAAATAAGGGTCCTGGTAGAATGGATTCTATTGCTCTGTCGAATGCGGCGATGGCTTCTTCTCTAGCTCTGCGACAACTGTTGGGTCTGAGTACCCGACCGGTTGTCTCAGAAGTGTCCCTCGCGGTGGGCTCCAGTTGAAGGTGAGGAATCTTGACTGTGGGTGAAAACACTAAAAGTAAGGGGGCTCTACAGCAAGACCTGGATACGAGAATACAACTCGACCCAAAGGACAGCTACTGAGAGAAGTTCCTCGCGAATAAGGTGGAGGGAAACTCTGTCAACTAGACGGGCACTGGTAGGCACGAGAAGATAACGCGCACGAAGGCGCGCGTAAGCGATATGAAGGCGCGCGTGAGGCGCGCATGAGATGCTAGAGGCGCGCGCGTATGCGGGAGCGCACTTATGAGTGATAAGGGATGTGGTTTCAAGTATAGTAGAGGCGTGAGCTGTAGCAGATGGAGAAGTATAATCAGATTTCTAGTACTAAGGTGCACTATACAACTTGCAGTATACTGAGATAAATGGGGGGAAAAGTAGTAACCGAAGTAAAAGAACTTCCCTCTATTTAAGAAGGGAGATAGCGCTATGCGGCGCTTCCGAGCGCGGTACTGAACCGAGTAACCATATCAACTCTAAATATAATCTAAAGTCTAAGATAGACTTTCTGTATGTAAGCGCAGGGATCGGACCGAGTGCACATCAATTCAGTGAAAGAGATAAGAATAATGCACCAGTAAATCAGTGAGGACATAGGACGGACGGACAGACGGGTAGGCGTGAGAAGACCTAAGGGGAGGGCGCATGGACGCGCGCGGAAGCGTGCGGAGGCGCGTGAGTGCGTATAAGGCGCGTGAACAAGGCGCGTACGTATGGCGTGCGCGTGGGAGCGCGTATGACTGATCCTTCAGATAAGAGCTGGAATATGTAAGGAATATGTGGTTTGTGGGGCCATATGTCTGGCATTGAGAGGCGCGAGTCTCTACAGCGCTTCCCGCGCCTCGCGTGCACCTGTGCGCTTTCTCGCGCTTCGCATTGGCCAACCAGTAGCGCCTTCAGCACCTACTACCAGATCCTTGCTGCACTCGCTTCCCCTTTAGGGTCGAACACTGTAGAAACAACTATTTTGAGTGGAGCTATATGAAGATGGCTCCAAACTGATATATTTGTGTTGTGGTCTTTGCACTGCCTAGTCTGCTATACTTGCCTAACAAGTGCATTCGACCCAGGGGTCTGCGGTCTGGGAATAGTCTTGGGGGTAAGTGAGTGATGTGTGATCAATAGTCCAAGCGCGGGAAACAATGTCCAAAGGTATAATTACGATGTCCGATGCAAAAGCGTCGGGTCCGATGTTTTCGGGTTATCGGGTTCGGGTTCGGGGTGTCGGAAACTAATAGTAACGCTATAGCGAGCGTCGGAAGAGCGAGCGGTGTGTGCAATAATAACAATGACCGATACGGGCGGTGAAGGAACGATGATATTCGCAATGTCAACTAAGAACTACGAAATATCGGGTTTGACCACTAAGCGTCGGGGAACTGCTCCCCTCTACTTGGATAATGAATAATGCTCGAGGTCAGTCCAATATATATGTAAGTACGTAGAAATGCGGAACCCATAGGCGAAGGTAGCGGCCGATGATTTCGGATCCGAAGTACATGTAAATAAACATGAGGCGCTGCGGACTATGGGAAAACATGTAATAGCGCTTGCTACGACGTGAGTAATGTGTGAAATAATGAACTACGCACCTAGTGGGGCTAGCAAGACAGGACAAGACACGGGAAGGACGAGTGCGCGGAAATTTGCATCGGCCGATGCGGCCTAAACGTCAGGTTGGCGGGTTAGCGTCGGATAACATTGGGAAGTGATTAGCATGTGACGGGTATTTGACGTGTACTGTGAAATAGCTCGATACGAGCCCAGCGCCAGCTCGTGTCCTACAACGCACTTGTTGTCTCAGGTATAGCAGACTAGGCAACACGCGACCTTACAACATTTACAGATACAGTTTGGAGCTTCATTTGTTCCCCTCTGTATAGTTGTTTCTACAATGAGCAAGAGCAAGATATCTCAAACTCCTGCCGCAATAATTGCAGTTCAGACAGAGGTACATCTAGAAATTTTACATCTGTTTGATACTAACTTCGTTTACATTTGAGGTCCTCTCTAACTTTTCGGGCTCGTATCGAGCTATTTCACAGTACACGTCAAATACCCGTCACATGCTAATCACTTCCCAATGTTATCCGACGCTAACCCGCCAACCTGACGTTTAGGCCGCATCGGCCGATGCAAATTTCCGCGCACTCGTCCTTCCCGTGTCTTGTCCTGTCTTGCTAGCCCCACTAGGTGCGTAGTTCATTATTTCACACATTACTCACGTCGTAGCAAGCGCTATTACATGTTTTCCCATAGTCCGCAGCGCCTCATGTTTATTTACATGTACTTCGGATCCGAAATCATCGGCCGCTACCTTCGCCTATGGGTTCCGCATTTCTACGTACTTACATATATATTGGACTGACCTCGAGCATTATTCATTATCCAAGTAGAGGGGAGCAGTTCCCCGACGCTTAGTGGTCAAACCCGATATTTCGTAGTTCTTAGTTGACATTGCGAATATCATCGTTCCTTCACCGCCCGTATCGGTCATTGTTATTATTGCACACACCGCTCGCTCTTCCGACGCTCGCTATAGCGTTACTATTAGTTTCCGACACCCCGAACCCGAACCCGATAACCCGAAAACATCGGACCCGACGCTTTTGCATCGGACATCGTAATTATACCTTTGGACATTGTTTCCCGCGCTTGGACTATTGATCACACATCACTCACTTACCCCCAAGACTATTCCCAGACCGCAGACCCCTGGGTCGAATGCACTTGTCAGGCAAGTATAGCAGACTAGGCAGTGCAAAGACCACAACACAAATATATCAGTCAGGAGCTTTGTTTGTTCCTCTCAGTATTGTAGTTTCTACATCGCGAGAATCAGATTTGCAATCCGTCATCTCGCAGTATCGAGAACACCAGGAATTCCTTGAGCATAGCCAGGCTGATGCTCTCACAATACTAAATGAGAATCATCAGAAAGAACTTGCCAAGTCCCAGGTAGAGTTCTATCCCCATGATATCCATGATGTTGACATCCTGACAGATGGTGTTGGGTCTACATAATGCACAACAGGAGGCGCGCACGGAACGAGATATACTATTAGCTGAAAAAGACGCTTTATTTCAGTCCAAGGCTGTTAAGACCGTGCACAAAGGGTAGGACTGATTCCGAGGGGCTTGGCTTCAGCTCGTGCGCTGCGCCCCTTACCCGAGTATGTGCCCTTAACTTCAGAATGAAGTCCGGAGAAAGTCCAGTGAAGTCCGAAGGACTTCCGGAGAAGCGTGGGAAACTTCGGAAGGACTTTCCGGACGAGTGCGGGAAAGTTCCGGAGGAACTTCCGGAAATTACAATGGAGTTTCGTCCTGACAGGGATATGTGTAATGGCTACTCAGGACAAGTCCTGAGTAGAAGGAAACAGAGGAAAGGCTGCAAGGACAAAGTCCGAAGCAGAATAGGTCCGGAGGACCGTGGGAAAGTTCCGGAGGAACTTCCGGAAACTTGGAGGATCGGAGGAATGGTGGATCGGAGGGTCAGAGAAGCGGAGGAGCGGAGGAGCGGAGGAGCGGAGCTCCGGCCTAGGGAATTCCTCCCTAGGCCTGAGATGGATGATTACTAAGTCAGAGGAATAGAACTGTTATGAGGACTTAGTGTGAAGACTAGTGCGAGGACTAATATGTGTATGATATTCAGACTGAGGAAATACAGGAGTATCTACTGGGGTTTATATACTAGAGGCAAGTCTGTGCAGATCAGTAAGCAGAGGGGTAAGGCTATGTACGAGCATGTGGAAATGTATTAGAAAATAAGACGGATCATAGGAAATGAACTTGGAGATGAAATGAGGTACGGAAAATGAGGAAGTCTAACTGAAGAAGGAACATACAAAGGGATAAGGCACAGAAGATAGACGCGGGTCGGATCCGGATGTCCGGAGATGAATGCGTGATAGGTCTGGGTCTGGAACGCAAGGAAGATAGAGGTGGGTCGGATCTGGATGTTCGCAAGTCCGGAGACAGGTGATTACCATAAGGGGATGGGCGCTGATTTAAGGTTTGGGTTCGGACATGACAGATAGGTCGGATCCGGAGATCCGGAGATGTGGATATCAGATCTGGCATCCGGATATCAGATGCAGGAGTACAGGGATCCGGACGGATAGAGGATTGGGTCTGGAGACATGGACAGGAGGTCCGGAGGTCCGGATGAGGCGTGGGAACGTCGTCGGATGTTGATCCGGAATGCGGGATATGACACTCACAAAGGTTCTGATTCCATTGCAGACAACAACTCCAAGAGCAGCTCGATTGAAACGCAAATCCCATGAGCCCCCTACTGAGAACTTCACTAATGTCCAGCGCCAAAATAATAAAGTATGTCATTTCCTGACACAAGTGACATGGCTAATAAAATGCCAGGCCAATGTTCGGGAGCTGTTTCACATGGTATTCAATTTTGCAAAAGATGATGAGTATATGCTTCATGTCACTGCATCGTGTGAAGCCATATCGTCTTTTACACGCAGACTAGGCATGGGCCCTGACCCTCTCAAATTGCACTGGGATATGATGACCACACACAAATCTCAATGGAACCAAAAAGTAATCAATATTCTCTGTTCGCAGTAAACTTGCATGTTTGAGAAGAGCCAATCAGTCTCAAGATCTCGTCAATCCATCATAGACGATATCACAAAGAAGTTTCATCAATGTTGCAATTCCTGGAGAAAAGCCCAGCCGCATATGCTCAGCAATGGCGCTCATGAAACTATGCAAGAAGTAGGAGATCGACTCGTGGATCAGACCAACGAGCGATTGCGGGTCACTAGGGTTCTCACTCACAGGGCAACAGTTAGTCATCTTTCTGTTACATGCCTTGAAGAATGCTAAGTTGCTTTCCAGAAGTTCGAAACTCATAAGAAAGTCACGTCGGTTCTCCTAAGTGACAGGATAGCCACTAGAAAGGACAACCAGGCGGTATGGGCATATCTACAATCTCTTGTGGAGATGCTTGGCAAAGATGGCATGAGCTCTGATGAGAGTGAGCATGAAGATGGTGAAGTCCAGGTATTTCGGCTGAAGAAGATGTTGTGGAGGGCAGACATCAACCACGAGATGCATATCATTGATCAACAATGGTTGGCGGGTGCCGCGAACTTCACTCCCCGCAGAAGCAAACCTGCAAAGCGTTTTTGCAATGCGATCCAGGAGTCTTCTCGCCCAGCAGTTGAAGGCTTACCAAGGGTGTTATACAATTCATCATGGCTGAATGACCAACTTCCTTCGTTCACAGTATCTGACAAGAAACTCCAGAGGATGGAAATTATTGTTTCCCCCCAGTGATATGAAATACGCGATGTGCCTTAGCCTTAGCCTGGATTTGTTTCATTTGTTTGATGTGTTGTACTGATAGGTTGTATCGTGTTGTAATACCTGCTCTTGTATGTGCCTTCTTTTATTCCCAATATTCTCCTGCACTGTCCTGCTATGTAACAACATTACCTGCTGAGTCTCATTCCATGGGCAGCTCGGTTCATGATTACCACAAGCAGGCGCTGATGCGATCAGCGGGGTTTGTTTTGTAGTCATTCACTATATCACATGTGTCCTTTCTGATTTGAATGTTAAGAAGGAAGGTAATGATATGTAACTAATGGGGGTAGCCTGATTGTGCATCCTTGCTCGGCATCATAATCCGCGAGGCACCGTCACTACTCATTTCTCATTTCTGGATGATAGGTATCCTCAGCTATACATTTGTGTGAAATCTAGTACATCCTCATCTCAGATGTCAATTTGCCAATGTCTCACTCTGTTGGATATCCTCCTGGCATTCCAGCAAGGGTGCTTACTGTATGATGCATGCATTAGACTGTCACAGCATCAGGTTCATGAACTCACCTCTCTCACAAATCAACAGAGGTTCTAGCTTCACGCTTGGAACTGTTTCGAGGGCAAATAATCCGCATTTCATGGTGTTCCAAATGTGTTGTGCTACAGGTGAGATGACATTGTCGTCGGTGCAACACTTAATGAACATGATCAATATAGACTGTGAAACGAATTCACCGCCATACATCTTGTCTGTCATTTGTTTTCAGGTTCTCTGCACCCTGGGAGTGATGCTTCGACATAATGTCATCAACTTCAATGCCCAACAATGCACCCTCGAGTGCTGCATAGATGCGCTGGCGTAATAGGTCAGTAGTCGGATGCCCCTCTTCACAATGACGATGGAGATACTTGTTTATTGCCTTCTGTAGGCCGCGAACAAGTTTTTCTTTCTTCAAAGACAGGTGCCCCACAGCCTGACTGCCGCTGATGTCAACGTTGGCCATCGAGATCTGCGCCTGAAATGCCTTGAATACGGTAAGTCTAGGAGCCTGTCAGCGGAACTATGTTGCTAACCTCATCGCCCGCTACATCAGGACTTTGACTAGAAATATCTTGTGCACTTCCCAATGTCCTGCCAGGTGATTTGGGTTTGTCAATGGACATGGCAGATCCCATCCACATGACTTGTGTGTCTAGCTGGAAAGGATCAGTTAAGTAGTTACTTCATTATGAACATGCCATCTTCATTTACCATTTCCTGTCCCAAATGAGCATTGCACTCGTTGAAATACATGGCAAACCTCCTCATTAGAGGTGCTGTGATTGGCTCCAGATTTTTATTGCTTGATGCCTCGACAGGTGGCAAGGGCCAAACATATGGATTGAAGCATTTGCTACGGACTTCAGTGGGTTTACTGCAAGCTGAAGTTAGTGTAGACAGCATGAGTGAGTTGTGGGATCATAAAATTCATGTAACTCTTAAATCGTATGGTTTGCAGGCCGTCTAGAAGTTCATCTCGTAATTCTACAATTGTATTCCCTTGGGATGAAATGTTTCTGGTTTTCCCCCTCTCTGCAGGTGAGAAACTCTGGCTTATCCCTCTGGTTTTTCCCTCTGGTTTTTCCCCTCTGTAATTAAGTGATTGATTTTAAAGCCTACAAAATATGTTCAGTTCTGCAAACAATAAGCTTCTGCAGAACAATTACTTCGAGCAACTTAAAGCAAGGCCCTCTTCAATCCTGCTAGTTTATTTTGCAATGGGAAATGTGATAAGCCATATCTCTGGTCGGAAATCCGTTTGTCATGAGGTCTGCTCCATATTTATTCTGTTTGGTTGTAACTTACATTTCTTATATACAGTCTCGGGGTACCTTGTCGACAACCACCCCCTCTTGGACGGTGAGGCCTTCATATGCAGATAGGCACCCACTAACTGCTGATTTGTAGGACATCACTCTAGCAAAAGCACCCCTGAAGCGTAAATTTAATTTTGATGATGACTTGGCATCCCCACGAAAGCGACACATCCTGGAATCTTATTCCACTGGCGACATAAGCCAGGTTGTCGCCACGGTACATTCCAATTTCTAATATATGCATCAGTGCTTGAGCAATTTTTAGCCCAAGATAAATCGTCACAACACTGACTTTACAAGCCCCTCGGCCAAGCACTTGTACAGGGAGGCGGTACGGAAAGACCTCACATATATTTGGCTCTGCTGATCTCGACCCTAGTCCGACACTTTCTTGAAGCACAAGGCAGATGCTATACTAGATCCCTTTTCAATCAAACATGTCAAGCTTTATGAGCCTTGTAGCACCCCGGCATTCATACGGTCTTTACCTGCTGAGATCCTCATTACTATCATTGCTCTTCTGGGAATGCAGAATCTATGCTATGTTACTCAAGTTTGTTCTCTGTTCAGAGAAATTGCTGGACCCCTCTTCTTTGCCAACCGGAGCTTCCCAACATCACCGCAAGATATGTTTCACATTTGTGTAGACTCCTACAATTTTGATGTGTTGCTTACTTGGATACATATGGATACCTTTCGTCCTCCACATATGATGTTATGTTGGTCAGATCCTGATGTGTGTTCCACGCAGCTCTCTGCATTTTCGCACTTTCTCCAGTCTGTCCCCCACAAATCCATATGATATATCATACTTTTCTGGAATTTCGACATTCTTGCTTGCTCACTTCTCCCTCAAATTGTTACAGTCTTCGAGACCATCCATGCCTCTGGCTGCAAAGATCTAATGTGTATGGGATTTTACGGCCACATTGGCTCATTGTCCATCACTGGACTCACCCAAATCCAGGGGCATGTGAGCAGGAACCACCTCAAAACCTTTGATGCATCATCACAGGCATTATTTTCCCCAAAACTCCTCCCTTTCACAATCCAGACAATCCGCTGTTCCCGTTTGGAAAAGCTCTGACTTAGTTCCATCAAGCTCAGTCCTTCACACTGGGACAAACTGCTGTGGCATTTAGCCATCCCAACGCTCGTCGAACTTCAAGTTGATGCTGATTGCGCCCCATCCACGCTCATTCGCTTTCTGGCCCATCACCCTGGCGTTGACGTACTTAGTGTCATTCTGCGACCTGGCTGTGCCTGGAGGATGCACTGAGTCAACGCTCCTTTGGCATTATTGGTATCCATGCTAGATGGGCCTTTGTCCCATGTCCTTCCAGTCCTTCGGAGTCACCTTAAACCTCCCACCCTCGCCTACCTTGCTCTCTCATTGCAAGCTCATGACGCTTCTCCTGACTACCTTACCACCATCTTACAATGTGTCGGCTATTGTAATAGCATTAGATACCTCGATCTTTCCCTGCCTCCGCAGAGTCATTCTCATTTGGCAATGGTTTACCCAGGTACCCAGTCAGCAGTTGATGTCGAACACCTGGTGATCTCCTCGGACGCTGCAGGCTCATGCTCTGCCTCGGCGGGAGATGAATTGGTACGGTTTTGTCAAAGCACTATTTCAATACTTCAATACTGATGGTGGCTCCAGGCATTATCTGCTTTGTGGATTGAAGCATTTCCTCTAGTCAAATGTGTCAGTATGCGAGGCTGCTCCAACCATATTGCTGAGTACCTTATCCACAGTATGCGCAAAATTGCTGCTGCTGGTGTTGAACTGTCTGTGAAACTGCATCCCAAAGATTCCTAGTAATTCACGGTTTGTTACGCGCCCACCAAACTTGTCCATCCTGTACGATACTTACAAAAATGTTATGTATCTATGTATCTATGTATCTATGTATTCCATATTCCATCCAAAGGGATGCACATGGCGTCGACGCAAATTCCATTTGCGGGTGTTTGGCTCTGTCCCTACAATAGAATCTCCTTGCAATTGTCATTTTTCAATTGACTGACACACCAGCCGGCAATGCCCGCCAAAAATTCACATCGGGCGCTGAGTGCCCAATTCTGGCGGAGCTTGATTATGTAGTCATTCACTATATCAGGTGTGTTCTTTCATTACTTATTTCTTTCTTTTCCCCATAGTTCTTAGAAATAGCTAATTATGTTGATTCAAAGTTCGTCTAATATAGCAATACTATGTACTTATTTATGTTGAGCATTCCAGGAGATTTGGTGCTTGCCAACAAGCCGAACATGACAGTATTGTACACTCCTTCTTGACGAATGAAATGAAAGTCAGTCCATAATGGTATACATGAGCAGCAGCCGCATTGCAAATGTCGGATTCGGCCCCCCTGTAAGTGCCCTCCGCCGACTTAATGCCAGTGCTAATTTTTTTGCTATTGCCATTCTTATAGGACCAGAATCCCAGCAAAGCCAGTCGTGCATGTTGTGAAGTTTGCTAGATGCCTAGCCGAATATTCCTCTGCAAATGTGCCCAATGCTGCGAGGTTGGAGCTGACGGAGTGCCTAGTAATCCTGGTGGCAAAGAACTGCCCGTCATGATGAAGCATGTGCATTCATTGCAAGCTGCCAACATTGCTTCTTCACCCCGTGAAGCTTCTCGTTCACGTCGCATCACAGATCATCAAGCACCATCCTTCCAACCTCTGGCTCACCCAACACATTCACCCGCAACATCGACACCAGTAGACGACATCGCCACTGAACTATTTGCCATCACCCTAAGCAACAACAAGGCCGATCCAGATAGTCATAGCAAACTCTGGGTTTCCCGATCAGAAGTTCAACGGGATAAGGGCAAAAGCTACTCTCTGGATGCCACAGCTAATCTAGTGTCTGGACTCACTTTGGATGATACGCAATAAGCATCATCATAGCTGACATCACCACACTTCGAGCTCTCTAACTTAGTTGTTTCTTAGACATATTGCTCGTGCTCTCCAGGCTGCTGAAATGTGGCGTGTGTCAAGAGCTCAAGTAACCTTGAACATTGTGGAGTCGCAGATAGCTAGAGCTTGCACTCAAATTCTCTCTGTGACTTCTCATGATGTGCTACGTCTGATACGAAATGAGCTGACTCAGATAACTACAACCCTCAAAAAAGTCAAGTACAAGGTCTCTTCTGTCATTTCTTGCAGAAGTCGGCTAGAAGCTTCTTGCGATGAAATGCATAGATTGCTCATCAACAAAGAAGATGAATTCCTTGTATCCACCCAACCGTACGAGTTTGATTCTTGTGAGTTCCATTCATTTCCTCCCTATGTTCCTCCGACTAATGTCCCATGAAGCACATCATTACAATTTGTCAATTGACTACTGTGACGAGGTCGCCCAATTATCCCTCTTTTTAGGGGCAGTCTCTGTTGTCATTTTTGGTATCGGTCGTAGACACAGGGAGTTCCTCATGGGAGTTCTCTCCTTGATTTTGAGTCTTGCGATGGAGGCACAGAGCCCTCATTCTGAGTCTCATTGTCTCAACACTCTTGCTCAGATCCCGCGATCTATGGAATCCGCGCTTTCACACTTCAAGCTCGACGGCCAGACCACCACTTATGCAGTCTGTCCGGTGTGCAATTGTACTTACAGCCGATGGCAGACCTCAATTCAAGTCACTCGCGATACCCTGCAAAGTGTCTCAACAAACCCATACCAGAGGGTGATCCTTGCGACGAACCGTTGCTGCAGCGCTCCGCTGACAGCCAATTCAAGCCATTAAAAACATTTATTTATCACCACTTTCATGACTACCTTGCTGGATTGCTGTGTCGTCCCGACCTGGAGGCCTTGATGGATAAGCCTTGATTTGCTAGCATCCATCGGGAGTACACCACATGTTGTCAATGATGTTTGGGACGCGAGTTTCTTTCGTACCTTCAAGGGTCCATCTGGCCAGTCTCTATTTATCAACAGAGGTGATGAAGGCCGATACGCCTTCACACTCAACGTTGATTTTTTCAACGTTGAAGGCAATCGTCAGCGAAATGCATCAACATCCACAGGCATTATCTCATGTGCATGTTTGAATCTCCCCCTCGATATCCGGTACAAACACAAGAACATGTACCTAGCCAGAATTATTCCTGGACCTTCGGAACCTTTGGGAGATGAATTGAATTTCTTCCTCGATCCTGTGGTTGACGATATGGTTGAAAGTTGGGAGCGTGGGATACATTATTGCCGCACAGCTCTTAACGTTTGCGGTCGGGTTACACGCAGCGCCATAGCATGTCTAGTATGTGACCTCCCGGCGGCAAGAAAGACCGCTCAGCTAGCCGGTCCAACAAGCCATTTTTATTGCAGTGCCTGTCATTGCTGGCACAGGTCAACCTGCAGTCAAACAGATATTGAGTCTGAAGATTGGAGACTTCGGGACAAGGACGAAGTGTGTCGCTATGCTGAGCTCTGGAAGAATGCCGGAACTTCAGCTGAGCATAACAAGTTGTTTGCATCACACAGAGTATGGTGGTTGACACTCTGGAGGTTGTCATATTGGGATCCCTCTCGTCAAATTGTCATTGACGCCATGCATTGCCTGCTGGAGGGTCTCGTGCACACTCATTTTCGTGAATTTTAGGCCTCACATCTGACCTCGCACATAGCAAGCCTGATGTTTCCTCTGCTTTTACTTATCCCTTCCTTGACGTTGAGCTCAACAAACCTCAAGACTTCCAAGAAAAAGACGTTAGAATTGTCAAAATAATTCAAAGTCTCATTACTGAAGCAGTCCCCAACCTTGAGGGGAATGACCCTCAGCTTATCGAGGATCACCTCACACAGTTAGAGAGAAAACTGTCGAACAAGACGGTCGCATCCCTTCAGTTCATGTCAGTAGGGTTGGGCATTGCGCCAGACGTCCCACACCCTAGCAAAAAGGTGTTCAAGCCCCATTGGGTTAGAGCGCTCATCAACTGGGTAGGTGTTTTACTCTATCAATGTTATTGTACCCTCTTAAGCTGCCTCTGCATAGCATTGGACTCAACCTTTTGCTGCTGAGCTGTCAAAATTGCGGATCACTACCCCAGAAGTTATGCAATGCATTACTGATGTCATTAGGACAACGGACACACCATCCTCAATCAGATCAGTCCCCCATAACTTCGGCGACACAAAAGCTGGAACCCTCAAGGCTGATGAATGGTGCACATTAACGACACTATACTTACCCATAGCTCTGGTTAGCTTATGGGGTGAGGGATCCACCCACCACACCTCAGAAGTTGCAGCCAGTCGTCATGCTATCCTTGATCATATGATGGCCCTCGTGTCCACTGTCCACATTGCATGTCAATGATCTATGACAACGGCTCGAGCAGACGCATACCGTGGATACATTGTCGACTGGATGAGGGACTTACAGGTATTACTTCCACATGCACGCCATCGCACAAATGGCCATATGGCATTGCATGTCTGGGACTACTTGCAGCTCTTTGGTCCTGTGAGGTCATGGTGGTGCTTCCCATACGAGTGTCTCATCGGGCAGTTGCAGCGGTTGCCCAACAATCACATTTTCGGTATGATTTTAACTTCTGTATCAATGAACTTGTCTTCTTATGTTGACTCACGCAGGTCAACAAGAATCAACTCTTCTCCACTCATACATCAAGGCTGCAAAACTCAAATATTGGCTAAACCGACCTTCTTGTCCTCCTGTGTTTAGGGAGGTGAAGTCTCTATTTGACAGATTTGTGTCTCCCTTAGTTGATGCTAACTCTATTCTTGCGCCCAAAGATCACCATGCACCACAACAAGTTCTTCCAGACGACCTTCAGCAACTGACTCAAGTTCGGCGGGCAGTCTTACATGCTCACTCACTCCACGAGGGAACCATCTACACCCATGATTCCACCCATGTGGGCAACAGCCTGATCCTCTATCATCCCGACGGCATCAGGAACGTGCAACCAACACCAGGGATCATCAAGTACATTTTTGAGATGGAGCAAGTAGTGGGCTTTGGCGTACGGTGTTACCTCCCTTTATACTCTCACCCCAACCCTTTCCGCCACTACCCTCACTTACCAGCTCGTTTATATTCCTCAGCGCTCGCTGACCATCTTGAAACTGTCAAGCCCAAGTGGGTAGTATCCCATTTCGCATGTTGGAACTTTTCTCCACAGCACATTGTTGTGTCTTTGTGTCAGGTATGTCCCCTCCCCTTTTTTCCTGTGTTATGTCTCACAATGTATATAGGACTGAATCAGATAATGCTTTCTCAACACACAGAAAGTGGAATAGTCCCGACTCACGTGGGAAGGGGATCTGGGAAATTCTGGACTGAGTCTCATTCACTATAAAAGGCCCCAAATGTAATTTCTGTTTTTTTTCTCTTCTTCCTCCTTTGGAATATATCACCACGGTCCGGTTTTTGCCGTTAGTCATTTGTACATACATACATACCCACTATACATACCCATTATACCCCAGGCTGTACTACACATTATGAATGTTATCCCCAACCTTGCAGTGCCTGCTGAAGGCACCCCTACCGCAGAACCAGTAAGGCATCCTATTGCGGAAGGCTCCTATCTAGCTCCCAATGACATCATTGATACTCCTATTAAACGGGACAGCTCCACCATGCTGCCCTTTATGACTCTTACATGGTGCCATGTTGAAACTATTAATGCTATGGGTAAAGAGATGAAAGGTTATTTCATTGGCCCGATGCCAGTTGGGGAGTTTCTCCAGGAATTTCTCCCAACTTCTCAGATTCCCGACTATGATCCCTTGTCCTTCAATTTTGTTGTTGGCGCATTCAGCGACATGATTTCTGTTAAAAATGAGGAACATGCCTACAAACCCTTCGTGAGTACCCCCGCACATATGACAGTGAGGTTATTGACAGCTTAACCTAGATTAACACCATCACACCTTTCGCTCCTCAATTGTCATTTGTTGACATTCACAATCACCCAGACACACAAAACTGCTTGAAAATAGATTCAGTGGTGTTCAATATCAAGCCAGACGTCTGCGTGTATCCCGATGGACGTGAACCTTCATCGCACAACTGCAATGTTTCTGCAACAGAAATAATCATTGAATTCGAATGGTCAAACTCCCACGACGCATTCTGCGACCCTTCTGGAGTTAATAGTGTTATATCCTGCACAGAGAAGGGTATGGACACGCTGGGTCAAATAATGAGCTATACTGCAGCTCAGCTCGGTACCCAGTTCCATACCCACACATTCTCTCTCCTGATCGTGCGTGATCACGCTTGCATCATCAGATGGGATAGGGAGGGGGCTATCGTCACTAGTGCCATCGACTACAACAATGAGCCACACTTGGCTGATTTCTTTCATCATTACACACAAGCATCACCTGAAATGTGTGGCGTCGATACTTCCATAATGCTTGCCAGTGACGAGGAGGCTTCCATCACAAGGTCATCGCTAAATATTCCCAATACCACTTGTATGCTCAAAGTCAATGTCCCTAATGCTGAGGGCTCTGGCTCGCTCACATTGATCTTTCCCCAACCTGCTACAAAATCTCATTCACCTATTGGCCGCTGGACACGTGTGTGTCCTGCATTTGACCTTGTCAACAAGAAGGTCGTAATGTTCAAAGATTCCTGGCGGGTATCATTACCCGATGTCTTGCCGGAAGGCGAGACTTACAAATTGTTGAAGTCGCACAAGGTTTCCCATATCGCAAACTGCATCGCATATCATGATGTACCCCCTTCTATCCCTCAGCAATCTACTCAGACTGCTAAGTTCAGATGCGCTCGATGGGCAAGTCCCCACTTACCTCTCACCCCGCACACTCTACACCATCTGGTTCTCGATATTGTGGGCACAAAATTGACTGACTTCGAGAGTTCTCATTAACTTGTTAAGTCTGTGTGTGATGCACTGATTGGTATGTATTTATTTTAACTTCACATTATCTTATTCATGATCTATCAATGCAGCTCATAAGGACACATTTGAACTTGCAAAGGTATTACATCAGGACCTTAGTGTTGGAAATGTTGTCATCTACAAAGGGAAGGGCTACTTAATTGATTGGGACCTATCAAAGCTAGTTAACATTCAAGGTCCCCGACAAACAACACACACGGTGTGTTTATTCTATGTGCTTTACATCATGTACTAATTTTGCTATGACTAAGGGAACCTGGCAATTCATGTCTGCGTACCTCATCGAGCATAAATATGCCATACATACGGTCAAGGATGATCTCGAGTCCAGCTTTTATGTTGTTCTGTGGACAGCTCTTATGTACAAGGAGACTTGCATGGATGTCCTTTGCAGGACATCACTCATCACACAGCTCTTCGAAGCCTCACCCGGATCAGCCTCAAAAACAGATTGGCACATCGGGAGAAGTACCCTTCCCAATGTTATGTATATCGACTGCACACCGCTCGACAGTCTTATCCACGATCTTGCCAAATTCTTCTCGCATCGGTTTCACGCATTGTTGCCCTCGTTTCTCCGGCTTCAAGTACTACACGGATCACTGAGCATCAGCAAATGGTATTTGACAAATTCCAGCTTGTGTATGAGAAAGCGGTGCAAAAAATCCCTGTCATACCAGAGTTTTTGATAGCTTCACATGAGATGATGACGGACTCCCCTGTTTACAAGAAGAACATGGGTATGAAGGTCCTGGACTTGCATGATGCTGTGGTAGGCATTTTCAACAAGTACCTCAATTTATCTGGTTGGCCTGCCAAAGATGGTGCTGTGCTGCAAAAACTTCAACGGGAGGAGAAGTACAAGCCAGTCTTAATCACAAAGTCTCAGTCGTTATTCGCCTCAGGGGTAGAAGTCACTCTGTCTGGCAAGAGGCGTAGACTAGATAATGCGGACACTGACGATGGTGATGACCTCAGCTCAATGACAAGCCTGGATGCACTTACATCCCTTAATCAATCTCACGTATAATGTTAAGTATGTATGTCGTGTAACTTGCCTGCCACTGTATTGTTCACAAATCTGCATTTCTATGAGTACCTAATGTCAATGCCGATATGAATACTCAATGATTGCCTGATGAGTGCCCAATGAGTGCCCAATGAGTGCCCAACAAGTGGCCATGTCATTTTTCCCGTGCTAAAAGTTCACATTTTACCTATTCATTTTATCTTGCGAAAAATTTCATTGTGCCCGCAATTGGAAAATGTTCATCGTTACTTGATATTTTGAAGTACATTTTCCCACGTTCAAAACTTTATAATTTACATTGCTCAAAATGGTGCGCAAAATGTAGAATTTTGCCTAGGATTTTGGCACTCATCAGGATTTAAATTTTTTCCTGTGTCAAAATGTATAGTAAAAATGCCAACTTTATCACTAACATTTTGAAACAAATCTTGCATGGTGAAAAACTCCCAAACCGCCGGTGTGTGAGATGCGGTCATCCCTATCTTAATATTGTGTACTCTTCGACAGATCACCCATCTAGAACGGCCGGCGGGAACGGCAGAATGGTAGGGTATGCCCTACATCATTGCATCTAGAGATTTGAGTCAGGGAGGGTCCTGAGACTATATAGTAATAGTCCTACTCAATAACGATTTTATTTGACCATTTTATTTCGTAAGCATGATTAGTGCTGCCGTGGTTCGGTCCAGAACCACGGTCCGAACCTGACCAACGGTCAGGTTCTTCCTTGGTTCGGTCTGTGGTCCATGAATTGGGGCGGACCGGACCTGAGTGAGGTTCACGGTCCACCATTTGCCTGAACGGTTCTATGTTGGTTCGAACCTTCCCCGAACCGGTCCGAACCCCGAACCGCGAGAAGTTCTGTCGCATTGTCGAAGCGTGTTTTGACACTGCCTTTGATGATTCGCCTTGGCCTCAAGGATTCTCGAGCTTCGATACTTACTTGTTTCCATCAAATGCAGAGGCTCATTGACAAGGTAAGTCATGATATGCACTGTTCAAACTGAACAGTATGAGTGTTGTGCTCATAATGACCATGTTCTCGCCCAGATCCTTATCATACCAACACCCTACGATGCTATTACAATCCTCCACCGGCTGTTTGTCCACCGGCTGTCTGATTTGCTTGCACATAAAATGTGCAAGCCTCAGCAGGTAAGCACTATATTCAACATGGCTCATTCAGACTCATGCGCTGTCAATGCTGACGGTTCTCTCAAGGATGCCAAGGACATTGTCTTCTACCACGATCCCAATGATTCTGTCCCCCTTGACACCACGTCCTCTGCCCCCCAGCCATCATCATCTACTAATCCTCCTCAGGATGCCTTCTCTATGCTACTGAATACTGGGCGCAAACCAACACCAGTTACAGCTGGTGCTCGACGATCCATTCGGACCTCTAAGCCATCTGCTCGCCTCCGGGATGCTGAGAACATTTATTCAACCTCGACCTCCACCAGCTCAACAAACCGCAAACGTGCATTGTCTAGCGCTACTGAACTTCAACTTCAACCGGCTCACAAAAAGGTTTTATCATGTCTATTATCAGACGAGGATAGCCTTGATGACGACGACGCTGGTCATGACACCGATCCTTTGGAGGACCAGCCCGTGGAGGACCAGCCCGAAGCCGAACCTGAGGATGCCATCCAAGCCACTTTGCCGAAGACTGAACGCACCGCTGACATTCGCACTGTCTTCACTCGCCATGAAACACACTGGGTATGCAACCCTTGCAAGTATGTAAATTAGAACTGCGTGTATTGTGTTCTGCTAATGTTTGGTAGGGACGCTGGTGAACCTGAGAGTAAGCATGTCTTTCGAGGAGGTATCTCTACACTCCGCACACACATCAGTCGGTATGTTCTTTCAATGTCATCTCTTACTTTTGCTGATATCTATTAGTAAAAAAAATCACTTTCAATTCTACAAGGCTCGCTGTCAAGCGGCAGGGATTACTATGCACCCTTGTGCCATTCCGACTAGCGAGGATCAGGCTCTGTAAGTTTCAGCTAACGTTTTGCATCAAGTGTTGCTGAATCATTGACAGTTCCAGACAATCCACCCTTGATACGATCCTCGTCACCAAGGTGCCTATATTTACCAAGGAAGGACTCCTGGAGTACATAATGGAACTTATTGTGACCGAAGACGAAGCGCTGCAGCTGGTCGACAAACCAGCCTTCCGAAACTTACTTCGCTATGTTCGGCCTGGCCTTACTGAGAGAGACATACCTCACCGCACCAAGCTTACTGAGACCATCAAGGCACGCGCATTAGCTATAGTCGATGTCATACGCGAACGTCTCGCAAAGGTCGATAGCAAAGTTTCCATGATGTTCGACTCTTGGACTTCGATTATCAGCGACCCATTTTTCTCCGTCACTGGCCATTACATTTGGAACCCGGATGATAAACCCCTGCAATGGGAGTTACGTCGTGAGCAGCTCAGTTTCGAACACATTGAGGGCGATCACAGCGGGCAAAATATAGCTCGTATGCTTATTAACTCAATTGACACATATGATGTCCGAGCTAAGGTAAGGTCTGGCCTCTTCTATCTAATGGTAAAGCTAATGGTTTGCTTCGTGCAGGTTGGATGGATGACTTCCGACAATGCCAGCAACAACGATACGGCAATGAAGGAAGTTGCTCGCGAAATCGATCCAGAAGGTGTCCGATGGATACCTGCCACACACCGCATTAGATGCCAGGAACACATCCTGAACCTTGCGGCACGACACTTTGTAGATGCAGTTACGAAGAAGACCCATCAGGCGCTTGATAAGGGAGATGATGCTGAACTCGACATCTTAAACAAGGAGCTTGCAACCTTGGAAGTTAACAGTGACCGTGACCGCGAAGATGAGTTCAACACTGGTGATTCGCTTGGCAAAGCGCTTGCACTTATAGAGCAGGTACATTATTATCCTTATCCTTATCCTATGCTCTTACTGATTGAGATTGTTAGATACGAAAATCGCCTCAAGCTCGTGCCTTCTTCAAGAAGGCCTGCAAAGAGGAGAACGTACCCGAGCTGGAGTTATTGCAGTGGATCAGAACTCGTTGGGCTTCCTTATACAAATGTCTTGACCGCATGCTACTCTTACGTCGGGTACGTTTTTTTTCTATTCAGTGTTTGTGAATCTGATATTTATATTTTAAACAGGCCGTCAACCGTTTCACCAATCTCGCTGACGAAAGCAAAGAAGTGCCAAATCTTCGTAACAAGTCTTACGATGATTTCAAGCTCGGCTGGAGTGACTGGAGACACCTCGGACTCGTTCATCAAGTCCTGAAGGAGCCGGCTACCGCCCAGCAAACTTTCTCCTCCGCGAAACACCCTACTGCGTGGCAAACGATACCTACATTGGAGTGCCTGGCTGACCGGTGGCAAGAGATGGCCAATGATATACAGTATGCACCAATCGCCGATGCAATCAAGCAAGGACTCAAGAACGTCAACAAATACTACAAGAAAACAAGCGACTCGGATGTATATTTTATTTGTCTCGGTGAGCATTCATAAAAACTTCACTTTCCTCCCATCTTTCCCTCCCCACCATACCTACTTCACCGCCTCGTATGAAAAACTTCACTTCCCTCCCATCTTTCCCTCCTCACCATACCTACTTCACCGCCTCGTATGAACTTCACTTTCACTTCCCTCCCATTCTCCCTCCTATTATATAACATGTGCCCGCCTCTCATATAACTATTAACTACAGTCCTTGACCCCAACTATAAGCTTGCTTATGTTGAAGAACGGTGGGACAGTCAAGACGTTGCGGATGGGAGGGCTCACCTCGAGACTGTTGTAAGTATTTGTTCAGACTCATCATTGTCCTTCGGCTTACATTCTTCTACAGTTTGATGAGTACTATAAACCACCAACTCGGACGCCTGTCGATGAACCTGCTCCGCCAACAAGACCCTCGCTGGAAAACCGGTATGGTGATGCATGGATGCGCGAGGCCATTAAGGCGCGTCAAGCTGCAGACCAACTTACTCGCAATCCTCGTCAAGAACTCACGGCGTATCTGTCTTCACCACTAGAGGAGGCCAATGATGTTGTTGCCTGGTGGGGGCTTCATTCTTTACAATTCCCTACGCTTGCATGTATTGCGCGCGATTATTTGCCCATCCAGGGCAGCTCCGTCCCCTCCGAACAGGCTTTCTCAAGCGGAGGGATCACCTCCACCATGCGACGCAATGCACTCGCATCGTCCACGTTTGGCTCATTACAGTTGTTAAAGGCGGCATATAGGAATGGCCATGTTTCTGCGACAGTCGAGGCAGAAGCTGTGTAGTTGGATGTGTAGCTATGAGTACCTACTTATGTTTTTTTTTGCTCATTGTAAATAAATTTGGTTCGGTTCACGTTCGAACCTGAAATTAACCAGACCTGACCATTCTGAACCGTTCGCCAAGGTCCAGTTCGAGGTTCGTTGAGTCTGGTAGAACCGGACCTAGGTCCAGTTCTTGGTTCTCACTCGACCCTCTGTGAACCGGACCGAACCGGACCACGGCAGCACTAAGCATGATGACAGTCAACAAATAAAATAGGCACCTTATTGAGTAGCCATTTTATTTGCCATTTTATTTCACAATCGGCATACTGTATCGAGTACGGAGTTTGATATGAGAGAGAGCTGCCGAAATGCCGACTGGGTGCAACTAAGTACGAGTGCTCAACATCACAAACACTGATGCCAACATGGACCAGCAAGAAAGCACATACGGTCACCACAACACCCCAGAAAATATGCTGCCCATGTACGATCAGTCGATGGGGCAGATATGCATCGAGTGCTTGCAGTGAAATGGTTGCTGCAAATAGTTGGTCATCCGGTGTCTCTGCATCGGCCAGTAGGATGACGGCAAGTGCTTCGAGGGACGTTATGGCGTGCGGGGAACTATCTGCCATGGTGGCGTGAACGTGTTTCAACGACGCGTGCGCCGGTGAGCACAGTCCAAACACCTGCGCCTCGCTTAGGAGATTTCAAGCGCCGCTATGTGCGTGCCGAACGTGTCGCTTGTTCATTTTATTTGCATTTTATTTCGGAAGCATTAAGCACGAACTGTCACGAAATAAAATGGTCAAATAAAATCGTTATTGAGTAGGACTAATGTCGTGAAGTCTCACTCAATGGACAAAAATAGATACAAAAAAAAGTATTGTCCACTTCTGCTATCTCAATAAAATAGTGTATCTAAAGTGTTGTTCTGTACGTGTAAGGCCTAGTATCTCGTCGTTCTATATTGTATCCACAGCACGTTTGCCACTCCAACAAAACGAGTCGGCGATTCTCAGAGCACTTGGCCCTCTGCCTAGCGACAAGCAAGGTTTCAGCCGACACAGTCGGAAGGTCCCGAGTTCAGGATGGTCTGTAAGTATATGTAATCCGGATCTTCTGCATAACTATGAGGCAAAGTTAGTAGCTGACAGAGCTCAAAAAAATTGTAATTACCTGAGGTTCGTTGCATAATCTAGGAATGATCCCAGTGCAACAGGTAAAGGTGGGGTCAGGTCGGACAGCCGAAAGCCTGGTTTCATCCGCTTACACTGTATGGCAGAAAGTCTATACCATGGGAGTGATCCATGAGCCAAATAAATAAGTGTATATGCTAAAGATACTATGTCGTCCCGCCGGCTATAACCTACTCAAAAAGATTTACCAACGTGCAAAGACCATAATTATCAGACTCACGTATTTCGGAGTGGACGTTGAGGCTCATAAATGGCAACATGCCATGAGCGCGCTCACCGGATATCGGCTTGTGTTTCCCGGTTGCGTCACAGTAGAGCTTTGCATGGCCAAAATCCACCAAATAAGGTTGCAACTCCCTGTTAAGCGGGAGCAGGATGTTGTCAGGTTTGATATCTCGGTGGATGACTCCTTGGCCATGGATATCTTGCAAAATTTTGACCTACTCCAATCAGTCGGGTGAACTGCCACAACGATGTGCACACTCACGAGGGCTCGTCCCAATACATAGATTTCTTCAATGGGAAGGAATTGCTGGAAGGATTCCAGATACGTATAAAGGTTATCTCCAAGACGATCTAATACGATGATCCCATGACTCTGAATGGTGGCCGCTTGATGGCATCGAGGGATACCGGGGACACCCTCCAGGGCATTGTAGGCCGCTTTTTCATTGAGTGTGCGCAAGGTGCCACATTCAACTTTGATTACTACCTTCTCGGCTGTCTCATCAGTCCGTGCAGCAACGACAGAGCCTGGAACGGAGCTAAATAGATCAACGGTACATGCACAATAACACGGATGTACCATAAGAGCCCCGGCCGCAAGAATGTTCCATCAGGTATTTGCCCATGAAGGCTTTTGAGCCGAAGAGGACTGGTAGGTGTTGACACATTTAAATTCGATGATAAGTTGGGAACAAGTTAGTGTTTTGCAAATTTGTTTGGAAGGGTTGAATTGTAGTATGAGGGACCGTATTGGACAAAAATGTTTTTTTTTTTTTTTTGGTGGAACGATATTATCTGCTAACAACTGACAAGGTCAGCCTTAGTAGACACGTTGTGGATACGGGGGTTTCACCCGTGAGATTAATAATAATTATACACCCAGAGGAAATACTTTATGTACGCAAGTTAAGCAGTGTGGGACTCGACGCCTGTTCGGAATTACCTAAGCCTTCCCGGAGGACGGCGGGGCGCCATACCCACTAAAACCCCTGATTTATGGACCCAGTTGTCCGGGAGATTCTCCTCATTTAGTAATACACCGCTCCAGGTCTTTAGAACCGTCTCCGTTTTGAGCGCTTTCTTCCCGTATCTCATAGAGTCGGTGAGCAATCGATCAAATTTCAGCCTCGTGTTGATGGCATGGACCCATCTGTTATAGATCTCATTTTCCGAGTGGAATTTCTCCTTTACACCTTCGAATTTGATGGTTCTCTCGCACCGGAGCTTCCAGATGAGATGTGCGGACTCCAATACTAATATTTTGAACAGTCTGTTCTTTCCTGTAGTCGACTTATCATTGTTGTGATTCAGGTTGGCTAGATTACAGCTCAGGATTGTACCGAAGCGGATTTCCGGCCAACTGTCCTCTCTCTTACACCAGAGGTCTTCGGCCGCTTGCCAGATGGTGCGAGACGCTACAGACTCACAGCCGATGAGGATATGTTCCATAGTTTCTAGTGAGTTGCAAATCCCGCATATTCCTCTATGTTCGTAGTGTGGGATCTTGTCCCAGAATTCGCCGATTTTATAGGCATCATGTAAGCACTTCCAGAGGAAACCCCGGATGTTCTTAGGTGTGTCCCTATCTCTTATAGAAGCCCATACTTTTTCACTGGATGGGGTTAGCCCGGATATCTCTCGTGCAGCGTGGATGGCCATCGCTAGGTTCATCGTGGTGCGTCTCCGTTGTTTCTTCGATCGACGAGTTTGTCTGATATTTTTGTAGAAGTTTTTCTGGGAGCCTGCGGTCAATTTCATACCGGTAAGGTTTAGCGAGTTCTCAATTTCAGTCGGGATGGTGTCGTGTTGTTCTTTTTGTATACTTTCGTCTGCCAACATACGGATTTTGTTGGATATTGGTTTCGGGGTGTTGTGGTCCCATTTGGAGAATGTGGTGAGTGCACTTCGTGACCTCAGTTTTGCCGTCAGCACTTTCATGATGACGCCGTTAGGGTGGGTACTCCAGTTTTGGTCTTCAAGATTGGAGAGGTGCACAGATAGGTCCTTTCCTAGCTTATGTGTCTTGGTGGAGACGTGGATGGGAGCGTTTAGCGGCAGAGTATCGATGGCGTGGAGAAGGGCACCGATCTCACCTGCTCCGGGGTTAGCCAGCTCACCCGGCAGTTTCACTAACTTGTTGCGGGGGTCGTTGTCTCCGAACCAAATGACGCCTCCGGAGACATGGTCGCCGTCGTTGTCGATCCGGTGTGACTCGGCGATGGTTACCCGGATTAGATCTTGGGCAGGCCCTTGCGGGTTTGGAGTTTGGCTCGCTGTTATCGTGCACTGTGGTGACTGGGTCACGAAAACTCGGAATCCTTCTTCGATGGAAGCGGGAGATGGGAAGATTGGGTCGAAGATAATCAGTGAGTTGCCTTTATTTTCTCCTATGTCCTGTGGGATTTGCTCTGGGGAGATGTTTAGGTTATAGTTGGGTGAACTTGTTGCGGGGTTCCATTTTGGTTGAACGCAGGTGAGGAGTTCATTCGCTACTTTGATGCATTTGATTGGGTTTCTGCATCGTCTTGCACGGTCTCGAGTGCAGTGGGCGCACGGACACTCATGATGTGTTCTGTGGTTAGGGTCTGATCTCCGTATTACTACTTCTAGGTCTTGCACATAGCGCACATCATGGTTAATTCTCAGGCAGTTGGCGCTTGGGGTGTTATTCAGTTTCTTAATGTCGTTTGAGGCACCCAGATGGAACCATATAGGTAATTGTCGTGCTATTTCTGGCGCTATCGATATGGCTTCCCATCTTACATTGAATTTTTTAGCTGTTTTGAGGATTCGCTTTAGGTGAGTCGGTAGTTTCTTGTAGGATGGCTCCCACGTCTGTAGAAATGTGTTAATTTTGGCTTCTGGTTTTGCTACAGGGGAGCTACGAGCAGCTTTGGCAATAAGTGCATGTGCGAAGAAGGTCCATGGCGGCCTTTCTGGACTGGGAGCGAGTAAGCTTTTTAGCCATTTGAGTTCTATCGCTTCATTCCGATCACACAGGTTCAGAATGTTCTTTCCCCCTTCATTTGTTGGGGAGTGTAGGATGTCTAAACTTACAGAGTTGTTACCTCCACTGTCCCAGGCAAACTCCCGTGTCCTTTTCATGAGGAGGTCTTCAACATCTTTTGGCATTCCTTGTGCCGATGTTAGATATTGTGTCATGCTACCAATGGTACGTTGTATGATAATTCTGCGTCCTTCTATTGTTGGGTGCCATCTTTCCCATCTTTGCAGGGCGCTCTCGATCTTGTCTAGTGTTGGAGACCAGATACTGTTTTCGTCCGTTCTGTTTCCGATCCAAGCTCCTAGGATTCTAGTGGCCTTTCCGTCTTTCGCTATGTCAACATTCTCTGGGAGGCTTTCCTGTGAGTTGTTTATTTTTCTTGTTGTTAGTATTTTTTCTTGGTATTCTTTGGTACCTATCGGGATAATTTCTGTTTTAGAAGTGTTAAATTTTGCGCCGGATGCTTTACACCATCTCGTTAAGATTTCGGATAGTGTGCTGAAGTCATCTTTTTCTGTTAGGTAAACTGTAGTGTTGTCGGCAAACATCGTCACTACTATTCGGTAAGCCATGTCTTTCGCCTTAAAGCCGGATAGACCAGACTGCCTTAGCATTTCGGCCAAAGGTTCAATCGCAATGTCGAATAGTAGACAGGACAGTGGGTCGCCTTGTCTTACTCCGCGTGTGATCTTAAATTTTGGACTGATTTCGCCATTGATCATTACTGCAGTTTCGGCCCCTTTGTACAAGGATTGAACGGTTTTGATGAAATTGTCAGGTACGTCAAATTTTTCTAGAACTTTCCAAAGATAGCTGTGTGAGATTTTGTCATAGGCTTTCTCCTGGTCTAGAGCCACGATCACTCCGTTAATCTCTTCGACCTCCGCAAACTCCATTATCATCTGAGTAAGCCGAATTTGGTCTGTAATGCTCCTTCCTGGTATGAAGCCGGCCTGGTTTTCGTGGATTATGGATGGGACGGTTCGTGCTAGCTTGAGTGCTAAGGCCTTGGTGAAGGCTTTGTAGTCGCAGTTTAGTAGGGTAATTGGTCTGTAGTTTGCAATCTCTCTTCTGTCTTTTTTCTTATGTAGAGGGTTTAGCAGGCCTTCGGCGAAGCCTGAGTTGGGTGCTACTCCGTTCCGCTCAATGTCGTTGTATACCTGTGTCAGGCATTTACTAAAGTTGAAAGGTACGTCATTATCTTTGGATGCTTTAGCTTTGGATTTTGCCTTATTGTTTACCCATTTCCAGAATTCGTAGGGGATCCCGTCGATGCCGGGGGCTTTGCCGTTGGGTAGCAGGTGTAGGACCTCTTCGATATTGGCGTTGGTGAGTTCTGTTTCTAGTTCGTTCTTATCATTTGGGCTGAGTCTTATATTGATCAAGTCCAGAATGGACATACAGGCTTCGTCTCGTTCATCAATGGGTGCCAGGTCCTTGTGTTGTAATTCATCGTAGTATGTCTTTGCTAGTTCCGCCATTTTATCTGACCTATTCTCATAGGTTGGGTTGTTTGTATCCGATCCGAGGTTCCTTAGTTCTACTATGGTATCCTGCGGCTTTTGTTCCTTCCCGGATTTCGCCCATAGTTTACTTGTTGCAGATTCGCTTTCAAGGCGAATTTTTGTTGCTAAGTTATTCCTGTTGTTATCGTGGCATTTAATCTCTAACTGGTTTAGTTTTCCTTGGATGTGTGACCCCACGATTCGTTTATCCTCGTCCGACATGTTCTGGTCGTTCATTGTCGTTTTCAGTTGGGTGAGGAGCTTGTTTCTCTTTTTAGGTATAATCTTCTTTGCCGTGGTTCGGCATAGTTTGATTGCCTGAGTCTTGAAGTCACTAAAGGCAAGCTGGGGGTTCATGATATCGCTGCGTTTATCCTCACATTCATCTATCTTGTTTTGTAGCATTTTGCCCAGATTCAGTATGGACTCGGCAAGGTTTTCGTCCTTCAGGACATGAAGGGGCAGGGACCATCGTCCTTTGCCTACATATGGCATATTCTTGCTGCTTATTCTCGCGGATATGAGCTGATGGTCAGTGTGTATGCCCGGTGGGGAGATATCCCAGTCTTTACTGAATGGTAAGAGTTCGTCATTGATGTAAATTCTGTCAATTCTCGATTGACTGCCGCCTTGGAATGCAGATTGTGCGAAGGTGTATGCTAATGTATCGGGGTTCTCATATCTCCAGCCGTCTCTTAGTCTGAGATGCGCCTTGAGTTGGTGTAGAGCCTTGGATGCGCTCGCATTGTCCGTCTTAGGAGGTAAGCGATCGAGTGAATCTTCTATGATATTGAAGTCTCCTAACATTAAGTCCGGTCTCGGCAGGTTTCGAAGCTTGGACTGTAGCAATTCCCAGAACGCTTGGTTTGATTGCGCATCGTTTGGTGCGTAAATTGCAAGGACCCTTATCATGCTATCTTTCTGCCAGGGGATGATTGTGAGTATTGCTCTACCTGGCGCAAGTACGTGGGTTTTTATGCCCGATGTCCCGAGAAGTTTTTTATTGATAACTATTGCTATACCTTTAGCGTTTGTCCGTGCTGGGTCTATTGAGGATATAACCTGGATTCTGAATCCGGGGGTGGAGTTGATGGTATCTTTGTCTTCCTTCGTCAGGTGAGTTTCCTGTAGTGCTAGTATTCCTATTTTCTGTTCTTTAACTAGTTGGTTAATGTGCGGCCACTTGTCTGCCCCGTTATGCCACCTCCCGCGCATGTTTAGGGACGCGACCTTTATGTTCGCTCTAGTTTTGCGACCTTTCTGCTGGTTGTTGCGGGGCCGCTTCTGTATGTTCGGCGTTGGGGCTATAGTATGGCCCTCATTGCCATGGTGGTTGGCTGAGACTGGGTTAAAGGAGGGAAGAGTGCGTAGAGTCTCGTTGATGTGTTGATCATCGGGTGGCATAATGTGCCCGGGGGTTGGTGGAGTGGTTGCTAGAGGAGGAGGGGAGTTAGTAAGTGCGTTCCTGTGCCCGTCACCATAACTCGCTGATCCATCCTCGAGGGCATTGCTGGCGGGCGAAGCGCAGCCCTCTCCGGACCTGCGAGTGCCGTAACCATTGCCGTTTGATAATACCGTAGTTGAATTGTTGTTTTGTATTGTAAGAGAAGCAGTTAATATTACAGCGCCGAGCCTTAACCACAGCTTCGGGCCGCGTCAGCTTATCCCAGCCAGACGAAGGGGGGACTATGTCGTAGGTGGGTCAGCAAATTCGATAAGGCGATATAGGTGTCCCATCCATGACTTCAGTGTCTCCACACGGCACGTCCCAGACCTCAATAGGTCGCCGTTTAGTTTATTGAGGTCCGAGGCTTTCCTGTTCTAGCAGTAAATTTGGGCCCCTGTAGACCGAGCTATATCGTTGCATGCCCGTGTAGTATATGCTTATCGGGTTCCCTTGATCCTTACATCGAGAGGCAGCGTACAGAGCATAAAATTCTATTTGGATGAATCAACAGCGATACATTGTACAATATGTGTATGGTACATTGAGCGGCCTTTGCGCCTCGTGCAATAGTGGTCATTCACAGAGTGTGGGTGAATCTAGAATGCGCGTTCCTTTCCTTTCCAACCCTTTCCTCGTGTGGCGCCTCGGGAGTGGCCTCTAGTCATACCTCTGCCTCCCCGGCCGTTGTTCTGCATTCCTCGGCCATGGTGGGACATGGTGCGGTTGTCAAGGGTAGCGTTAGTTTCTTCAGCAGTGGAGGGCCCGAACCATCCCGGAATTTTCGGGAATGGGCACAACCCAGTGGGGTGGTCGAATGACTTGCAGCCGACGCACGTAAATTGGGCGTCTTGGCGGGCTGTACCGTATCCGTAATCTTCTGATATATAGAAGAAGTCTCGGAGAAGGCTCGTCCAGTCGAAGTACTGTTTCAGTGAGAAGTTGGGGGGGGAGTCGAAGTAGACATTCCATACGGTCTCCTTGTTTGATTTAGAGTGAGCTATGTTAAGGCTGGAGACGCGCACAGATTTGATTGTGCGGATTGCAGCCTCGGCATCGGGGATGGGAATGTTATCATGGATGAATTGGAGTACGTCTGGGTTGGAGCGGATGGTTTCCTTAACGATCTCTGCGATCGTTCGGTTGGTGGTGTCAGAGTCGGGAAACGAGAAGTTTTCCAGGGTCAGGGCATACGTAGGGAGTGGTTGTTCAAAAGGAATGAAAAAACATGATATTTCCGGTGACGAGCACACTTGTTGTCGAACTAGTCGTTTGATTGCCTCAGGCGGGACGCCTGAGATCAAGAAGTGCCATGGGGGGGGTAAGTGTTCGACCAACTCTGCTGCCGCAGTGGGCGTGCTGACAACTAGGTTCTCTGCATCCGAGTCCCCTATGATCTTCGTGATGGCTTCTTTGAGCTTTGCCAGCGTTCCTTGCGCATTGGTCTCGTACTTAGCTCTGTACGTGCGTACCCACGCCTTAGCCCCTTCCTTTTGGGGCCATTTCTCTTTCAGCACCTGGGACACGTTTCGCCAGGTGGATTGGCCGAGTTGGGGTGTGGGGAAACCTCCCATAGGTGTTGCTGTGATGCGGAGGCCACTGTCGAGGGTCCTGACACCGTTCACTATTATTATGAGTTAGAAGAGTCGTAGGTGATTAGTTAGTGGTGGCTTACCCGAAGCTTCGGGTGTAGCAATAGTGCTGGACCTTAGGTAGTCCCACTGATTTGGAGTTACGGATGGCTGTAGAGGGCGTTCGATGTTGGGGCGTTTGCTGGCAGGAGTAGCTGCGGTAGGAGGCTGTTTCTTGGTTTGCCCTGGGTTGGGAGTAGGGTCGGCAGCGGTGGAATCTACTGGGGAGGTGGGACGGATCCTCTTGCCTGCACGGGAATCCGTATTCATGTGGTGAGTTGGGGGAGTGGGATCCATGTGGTTTACAGTGTTGGAAGACAATGGAGTCATCGTAGGCAGCGTGTTATCTTCGGGTGTCATCGTGAGTTGATGTGTTCAGTTAGAAGGTGGGCAGGGGTGACTGCGTATATCGAGCGAGGCGGATGCTTCAGTTTTTAAGCTTCTGGTTAGCCGAGGCCCTTTGTTGGGTCGTGTGGGAGGGGGCTTGCCATGTTCCTTTGTAAGTAGCACACGTTCTGTGGCTCATGATGTATGGTCTGTTTTACAGACAAAGGTCTTTGTGCTATTTCGCGTTTCAGATTGTAGGGGCACTCGCATCGTCGAGTTGGTTGGTGGGGTTGCGTCCGAGGTAGCGCTCGTTGTTGTTTTCTGAGCTTGGCGAAAGTGTATTTTCCAACTTTTAGTGATGGACTATGTGTGTTGCCGTTTGCTATTGGGTAGTTGTGTATTCAGTTGGGTTACATTTGGTTTGGGGAACGTTGTTGTTGCGGAATGGTGGTGGGTATTCAATTACTGTAATGTGGGGGCTCTCGATTTCGACTACGCTTGGAAGCTATTATATAGATTCAAGTATTGAATTTCGCTATGTCTCTGGGTAGACATTTACAGCGACGGGCGGCATCCAGTATGGGTGCCACCCTACCTGAAGGTGATGGTTCAGGTCCAAGAAGCCCCCCTATTGGACAAAAATGTTGACTTTGAAAATTCATAACTCAACTCGATCACGTGGTAACTCAACTCGACCTTTCGTCCAGCGCGAGCCCTGAGTCCTGACTCTTGCACTGTATGACAGTCATCGCCTGCCGGACTTCCCATATACTCGAGCATCTAGCTCTTTCTCTGCCGTCGTACAATTGTATGCCCGGTCATCACAACCTGATACTGCAGAGGTGCGGCATCGGCGTTTTCGTGATACGCCGCCCTGGTGTCATTTTGGTTGTGATGCCTTTGAGAGTGTTCACCATTTTTGCTCGCTGCTCAGCCTTCTCGGCTATCCGTCGTGCGCATGGCATGTAGCTGTGTAGGGCAAGGCTGCCGATCAATCATGTGCGAAAGGTCTTGGAACGAGCAGCTCAGCGCCTGTTTTCTGACGACGCAGGACTTTGGCCACAATATCGGACGCGTTTTTACATCCGTGTGCTACCCCCACTTGCGGGTATTGTGGGCAACATGACTGAGACAGAAGTGGAGAACCTAAGGTGTTGTCACGATTAGCGCAGGCATGGCACGTGCATAGTAGTCGGCTTGCAGGACGAAAGTGCAAACGACGTATGAAGTCTCTGAATGCCGTTCCTTCTGACATAGTGACATATATAAGTCTTTGGACACTTATGCGTACCTCTTACCAGCGAGTTTGCGAGCTTTGCTTTGATTTCAGACGTTTGACTGGATTCGGGACATTTTTGTTTCATTGGTAGTCGAGCCATCGAGGAACCCAGTTATCTGAGCTTATGTCCAGAGCGTAGGTGGCCAAATATAAAACTCAAAATTTGCAACTCGACTCAGTCACGTGGTAACTCGACCAAACGTAGACAAATTCTGATGTGGGCCACCCGGCCACGACCCAATCCAGCCTAATCAGGTTTTCTAATGTAGTAGCTGTTATGAACTACCTGCAACATAGTGCCGCATCGTGTCAAAATGACTCAAACCATCCTCGCATGATGACGCACGATATCGACTACCTTTGCATCGTGTATTCGTCCAAATTTCTTATCGAGATCGTGCGAGGGCGCTGGTTTCAGTTGGCGGTGCACGCTCCGGACGTTTGTCGCACTCTCCGATTTTGATTGAGCTGATATCATGATATCAATGCCTTCTACATAGTGTTTGCGCCACGGCTTGGCAACCGAATAGTGGCTCCGAGAGTGGTAACAGTGCATCGTACGCTTACTCAAACTAATTGCTATAAAAGTTATGGATGGCAGTATACTATCTGCACATATTCCCCAAGCCCCATCCCGATATGACCATACTCTCAGATGATCCCGCTTGGTGGCCGATCATCAATTTTTGTCATCTATACAACTATTTTCTAGGTTCGTGGAGAGCAATTTGGATGTCAACGGTGACATCTCAATATGTTTGACTATTGATTCGCAGTTGCATGCTCCACTGCAGTGGTATACGACTGAGGTGAGCAAGAACGTTCCGAGGGATTATTGATACTATGTATACAATATTCAAGCATTGACGTTCGGACAAGAGGTAAGTTGGTGTCATGACCTGCGCATCTCACTAAGAATGCTTCAACAGTTCGAATTGATCTTGGTGAGCAAAGTCCTGTATTAGAACCAAATAGAATGATGCAGTTGACTCGGGGCAGAGGCCACGTTGGTCCTTCATGCACATGACTGTTCTTTATATTTGTGTACGTTATTGTTACGAGCGCAGTTGGCATCTTGTGCTCAACATATGCTAGGTGCGCTACATCAGAATACAAGTACGTTTTCAAGGTTATTCACACTGCAATGTGCTAATAAGTCATCTCTCTCAACCAGCATTAACATACTGCGTATGTGTCCTCACACGTGTTTGCTTCTTCTGACCGGCGGCATGTAGTGTTGCTCTCTATTACCGATGTAGTGCGTATTCTGCACCGATGCCTGCTATTCCCATTCTCATCTTACTACACAGGGGTGAGTGATATTCACGGTCGGTTTGTGTCTTCAAGGTAACGACTTCAACAGCTGTGAGTGTATTTGAAGTATTTATTCTACCACCAAGTAAATGGTGTTCCAGGCACTATCCTTTGGTACATACAGGCATGGAACCCTGTCATCGTCAATGTCATGTTGGGTGGTGAGCCCACCCGCGGTTTCCTTCCTGACATTGACTTGACTGAAATATCATCCAAGTCATTATGATTGCTCAGATTAATGCCATGTATCAGGGATCGAAAACATTGTTCATCTTTCTTGTTGCAGCCTTACTAGCTTCTACAATCGCCTCCAGAGTTATGATGGTCATTGCGAATCTGGGTGTTTCATCGCGTAAGTTGTAATCTCGAGCACAAGAGACTCACGGACATTTACCAGAGAAGGCTGTCCTTTCCGGCTTCCATACCTGCATTACCAACATCGACACGGACACGATGAATCTGATTTACGAGAGTGTGATATCCACTGTTGTGCGGGAGATCCTCGTCTTGTTTCTTGCAGTCTGGATTGTTATAAAGCACTTCCGTGAACTACGACAATCGCCGACAGGATCGACCATTGGGGACTGTTTCACGATATTAATAGAGAGCCACACGTTCTACTTTCTAGCGTGAGTTCTATAGGTGATTTGGACGTTGTTATCCTGTTTCACTGAAGTTTTTCATTTGCTAGCTTTGTTACTATGACTTGCTTCACACTTGGCTCACTATCTCCAAACATCACGGTGCGCCGACCCGTGACTAACATCTGCGGCTGACTACCAATAAGACAAAATCTGATGGATCTCGTCATTAATCAAAGCTTAGACTGATCTGTAGAGCAGCGCTTCCGAGACACTAGCACTCGTATGCAGCATCTGAGGCACGTACCTGACCCGCAACTTAATATAATGCACCTTTCCCTGGCAGTCCGGGCCCACCCTCCTCCCCGTCTGCCTGATCACAATCGGCACCTCCCTGCATCCCCTATACAAACTTCTGAACCGAGTGCGGGCACCAGACAGTCTCCCCAGGTTATTAGTGAACGCATCGGACGGGGGTAACTTGAAGCTAAACTCGTGTCAGGAACAGAAAAGCAGAGACCTTAAGTACACGTATTGTGCCACAATCGATTGAACAATATTTTCAAAATTTGCGAAGCGCATAATGGCTGGCCTCATCCCACAGGACAGAAACGAGCGGGTAAGAGGGTAGCCAGAGGACACACCATTTCTGAGGTAGGTTACTGAAGTATGAACATGATCATTGGTGGGTCTCAGACCGACTCTTCACTGTCGCATACCTCGTACACTGCCATGGCAGTGTGGTCCAGGGCCAGCAAAGAACGTGGGGAGAATGTGATTCCCGCTACAGTGTGTAGTGGGTATTATGGTGGGGAGGTTAGTGTCATGTGAAAATGGAGAACAAGAGACACGGGAGGGACAAGTGCAAGTGGAGAAGCTATAGCGGACGACGAAGACGTAGTCATGACAGGTGCACCAGAAACAGGAGGTGAAGAGAGAGCGCGAGAAAATATGAACATATCGAGAATCTCTGGGATAAGACAACCGCAAGCGGGTGGTGACGATCGTGAGACGGAGGACATATCTGCGGGTCCAGGTCCCAGGAATTCTGGGACCAACTAATAAGCACATCTTGCAATGCCTCTCCTTCCACCTATCAATTTCCCGCGCTGGCTCGACGAGAACCAGCACCTACTCAAACCTCCTGTGAACAACTTCTGCCTATACCGGCAGAAGGATTTTACTGTGATGGCTGTAGGTGGTCCCAATGAGAGAAACGATTATCATGTGAACGAGACCGAAGTGCGTCTCTGAGATCGCTAAGATAAGGAATTGTACCGATTTCATTTTAGGAATGGTTCTATCAGTACAAGGGTGGCATGCTGCTTAAAGTGGTAGACGGGGTTGAGTTCAAGGATATCAGGATCGAGGAGGGAGAGATGTTTTTACTGCCAGGTACGTCGAGGACTCGTTAGATGTGAACCGATTTTATCAAAATTACATTAGCCAACACACCCCACAATCCCGTCCGCTTCGCCGATACAATCGGAATTGTTATCGAAGCTGCTCGTCCGGATGAGTCTCATGGTGCGTACAGATTCTTACTGCGCCAGATAATGTGTCTTGACGCTTCCTCGCACTCAGACTCCCTGCAGTGGTACTGTCGTGATCCTTCCCATACCAAACCAACTATTATTCACAAAGAGACCTTCCATGTCACTGACCTTGGGACACAACTGAAGCCTGTTATCCAGCGCTGGATGTCGACCGAAGAATTGAGGAAGTGTAAGGAATGCGGCAACGTCGCTCCTGCCAAGTAGTAGTACCCCCGCGTGAACTGTTTCGCGTTCTGGTGCTAGTATACATGTGAATATGATAATGGAAAAACTATGCAAACCATAACATATTTCTCTAGAAACATATACGATAACTGGCATATCGGCCACTGGTTTCACTAGGACGAGTGATTTTGACGACTTGGCCTCTCCGAAGTCCATAGTATCGTGCCACGGGATCGGCCAGCTGTATTCGAGGAAGCTGGGTCTCCTTCAGCCGACTAGGTGGATCGCAATGTGAGAACACGTAACATCATTCTGAGAATAGAACGCACTATTTTTCAAGAAGTTGTTTTTTCTGCTCGACAGTCAACACCTCATGCCGCGGGACCAGTGTGTGATGCGTGATATTGACGAGGAGGTCGGCTTCCGAGAACTCCTCGAGCCGATATTGTTGGGACATCGCCGCAATTACCTGCAAATCAAGCGTAAGATTGCTACCGCAAAAACACAGATTCAAGCTCGCACTTTTCGCGCAGATGGAGTCATGTTGCCAGGAAAGATAATGATCCCCCGCATAATCGACTTCTCCTCGAGAATACCCAGAAGCCTATGTGTTCACCCTACATCAGACGAACGGGTACAAGGGGCGTACATGGACGAACTTCCGCATTGTTTTAACGCCAACGCTTTTCTCGTCTGAAAAGAATATGAAAATCTGGTCTGTTGGATTTTCTCTAGAGTTCGTGAAGAAATTAAGTTGGTTTCGACTGGAAATGCATGTCAAGTCATCTGCAAGTGCACGTTGCTGCATAAATAACCACAACTGACTCGACGCTGCCTCCACTGTTTGCATAGTGCGACCTGAATGTAGTCAGGTCCATGTTGATCTCATCGTCCGAGACTTGGTACCCCTTCATCATTGGCTCGTTAAAAATGCACTAATACACCAAGGAACATGATTTCGCACCCTATCTTTTACAAGTTCATGTATTGTCCGATTGACCTTCCATAGTTTCGCAGTTTCGTCCTCAGACATCCTTCAGCTTGAGGGGAGTAGCCGGCAAAAGTAGTATTGAAACTCAGACGCCCAAAGTGATTCTTGACGAACCTCTCAATGCCGCCTCCACCAACGACCTCTAATGGCAATGCAGCAGCACCTCCACCAGCGACGATTCCCCTCTCAAATGCGTTGATGGTAAGCCAAGAATATGGCTCTGTGTGCCTGCGCTGACAGGCCTGTTCCAGACAAAGTTGAAGCCCGCGAAAATCTTCAAGGGAGCAGTTGAGTCAACACCGCCGTCAACGCCTGGTGCTAGACCACATCAAGGGCCACGACATATCACTGCTATCACATTTGATGACCGGGGAGATCAGGTGTTGACTGCAGCTGAAGATGAGACTTTTCGGTTGTACAGCTGCAAGACGGGCAAGCAAGTTCTTGACACTCTATCTCCTTCTGACCACTAATTTTTGACACCGCGCTCAGACATCTCAAAACGCTGTACTCTAAGAAATATGGGGTCGACCTTCCTCGTTTTACACATAGGCATACTACCGTCGTACACGCCTCGACGAAGGAAGACGATACAATTCGGTATCATTCACTCCACGACAATAAATACTTGCAGTATTTCAAGGGGCACAGCGGACGTGTCGTCTCCTTAGAAGTCTCACCCATCGACGATGGCTTCATGTCCGGCTCAGTAGACAAAACGGTTCGATTATGGGACCTCCGAGCCCCGACATGTCGCGGACTCCTGAACCTACCCGCATCGCCCATCGTCGCGTATGACTCCAGCGGGTTGGTGTTCGCAGTGGGCGTGAATCACTATTCACGGATACTCCTGTACGACCAAGCAAACTACGACAAAGACCCGTTCTTGACCATAACGCTAGAAGATCCCACTCTTGCCCTAGTCAGCTACCCACCTCGCCCGATATACATGACGTCTCTCTCATTCTCGTCAAACGCGAAATACATCCTTGTTGGCTGTTCTGGTGATGCACATTACATCTTGGACGCGTTTGAAGGCCATCTGTTGGCCAAGTTGGAGGGCCACGTTGGGTTGGAGCGTCGACGCATCGATGCCCCGCAGACTATCGACCCCTCGAAGGGCAACAGTGGCGAGGAGGTATCTTGGACGCCGGATAGCAAGTATGTTGTCAGCGGCAGTTTGAACGGGAAAATAATTATATGGGACGTTCAAAACTTGCCTGTGCGGTCAGGCGTCGTTGATCTCAAGGCTCATCCAACACGGCTTCAGCCACTTACTACTCTTGATGGCCATCCCGGTCCGTCTAGATGTGTGAGATTCAATCCTCGGTTAGCCATGATTGTATCTGCAGGGGCGGAATTGGTAAATATCTCGATTTTTCATCCTCTACGTATCTTGTGCTAACAGTGCACTACAGGCTTTTTGGCTACCAGACCAGTCGGCGGATAATGAGGAAATCGCGAAGGAACTTCTGCGAAAAAAGTAGAGATAAACTTATTGTTGCAGTATTGTGTATGTACGGTATAGGCTTTATTCTTCAGACTTCAAACAATTAATATTTATTGTGTGATGATAGCAATGAATGATGACTAGTGTACAACTTGAAGATAATTCGATGCCTTTCCCCGAATTTAAGTAAGAATCGATCCCGCGATCCTGCTGGCAGAAAACAATGCATACACTACACTCTGTGACCATTCGGTAGTTCACGGGGTAGAATCTAAGAAAGCTTGGCCAAAGAAATTTGGTTATTCTGCGTGTCCACAGAGAAATACGCATTCTTCAAAAACACATCTCCGACCTGCCGAAAGGAGTCAACGACCGATGATACAATTGAAAAGAGCCACATACCAGCCACTCCGTGTTCGTCCCGATAGTGCCAGGCTGAATACCTGCTGTGCAGTCACCAGTTGGATCATTAACGTCGACAGGCAGTACCGCCATGTCTCTGGGGTCAATAGCAAACGAGGCATTTCCAAAGGAAAGCGCAACGCTTGTATTCGACGTGCACGAAATCGTACACTGCTGGGTATCACATTTACCACCAAGCATGGCTATGACTGCCAGGGCGTCCGCCGGAGGGGCGATGATGAGAGTGGTACCAGTGTCAAGAATGGCAGTGCGCCCGGTCATGCCTGTATCTTGTCCATTGACCGTGATTGCGTCTATAGCGCCCTCCCAGAACCCTACCTTGCTGACATTGGGGATAGTAACAAGGGTGTTGGCGACGAATTTAGTGGAGTCCAATCCGCCGAATGTAACTTCACCGTCGTTGAGTTGATCAGCGAGACGTGAGATCTTGAAAGACGAAATAGCCGAGGAGATGAGACCATTGGACGCCAATGATTCGACAGGAGTGGGGACCTTTTCATTGGAAAGTGTCTACAAAAAGAATCCGTCAGTACGTGTCGGTGCCTCAACATCAACAAGTCGACTTACTGACTGGGCAAGACCCATTAGCCCATCAAAAGGCACGGTATCTGCAGAGAATTGCACACTCTCCTCGTTTGCTACACCGAAGGTATGCTTGTTGAGTTGCAAACCCGCCATGTTGACGTTATCCTGGCAAAGAACACCAGCGACGGATCCAGACCCGTAAGTCACGTTGAAATTTTGATTGGACTGAACGAAAGAGCTTGACGACTTAGAGCCAAGGAAAGTATGGTTCCCCTTGAACTGCTGTAAGCAAATTATAGCAGCTGCTATTGATAAGAACTTACACAAGTACCCTGCTGAGATTGGCAAGTTTCACTACCGACCCAGAAGTCGGCGGAACCAGAGTCCATGAGAATATTGAAATTCTGGGGGGGAGTACCAATCTGGATGGTTGCAATATATCCGACATCATCCGCACTGCACAATAATCAATTGACCCATTTCAGTAAAAGAACAGCTAGACTCACTCAATAGCAAGACCAAGAGTGTGGTTAGAAGTAGGAATTTTGGCAGGAGTGAGACCACCAATTTCGGCAGCTTGGATGTCGAGAGCAGAAACTCCACCATCAGTGCCAGTGGAAGAAGCATTGCTTGCTGCCTGTGCAACATGTTTGGAATTACGCCAATAGCGTCTGCTAAAGTTGCTCCCTGTCGCCGTGGTAGCACTACTAGCTTTGACTGAACCGCTTTCAAGAAGGTACATCCTCTTGTGCATCTCTGCACGGAGTTCATGTTCAGCGGGTTCTGAACGTCCAGTCATACGCGCAAGGCGTTTATTGCCACGGTTGATGTGTTGTTGGAGAAGCTGTGCCATCAAAACATCAGGGGCTACACGGCGGTGATGATCATATTGGCTCACCAATTGTGGGTGGACATCGGTTCGTGGAACGTATAACCGTTTCAGCGGCATTGTAATCGTCCTTGGGTTAGCCCGGGCCAGCCTCTGGTGATGCGCCCTCGCAGGGATTGCATCAGATGGGGTACTGTGTAAAATGCATGCCAGTAACACAGCGAAAACGACTGACAACTGCATCACGCGTGAAGAACTTCAAGTTTGCCAGTACAAAAGAGTGAGAAAGACTTGAAAACAGGAAGAGCAACGTCGACTAGCGACAACTGGAACAAGTTAGCAAAGTAGTCGGAACAGAATTTAAGATCGACTGGCGAACTGTCAGTGGAAGAATGAAGCCGGAGAAAGACAGTATGGCACCAGGCCAGAGTTCGTATAGGTGGAAGATGAAAAAGACCGAAAAGTGGGGGACTTGAATGATTTATATGATTCTTAAGTACATTGTACACTGATCAAGCTTTTTGTCTTTCTTTCTTGGAAGACCACGATTACATAAGCATATGTATAGCTTAGTATAGCCTAGTACAGCCCGGCAGTCACTTTGTTGTTCCGACGGTAGCATCGCGTTGCCAGCAACAAGACAACAAGCAAACAACGAGTGTCCAAAAAAAAAACATGGCTGACAACCTCTGACAGCTCAGCTTTTTTATTGGACCAAGAGCTTCATATAACCTCATATAACTCGGAAGTACACATTCGCCTTGTCTTCAGGGTCACATCTACATAAAACCCACTAGCAGCAATCAGCCTAGCGCTCAGCGCTCAGCACCGGCCTGCAGCACAGCAACATGGAGTTCCGATCCAAACGTTCACAGGAGATATCACGTATGATGAAATATGCCATATCGGATGTATGTTCGAGCCTCAATATGAAGTACGCTCCTCGACAACTTCAAATGCTGCTGACCATCTATGTCACTTTTTACGCCAACGCGACATATCAGGAGTGCATGATGTAGCACAAAGAACCGCATCGTATTGTGAGAGGTGCGAGACCCCGGCACCGACGCAGATGATGCAGTGGATGATGCAAGTGATTAATCGGATCACACCGAACGGCGAATCTGGAACGTAGAGAAAGGGCCATTTGGTAGGACAGCCATTCGAGGGACACACAGTGACAACATGTACTCAGTTGCCCTATTGCCATGGGATGTTGAGTGCAAGCATGAAGTGTTCGATCCGTTGGTGAAGCACACAGACAGAGTGCATACTGTGCTTCTCAGTGTCTCGCCCGATGGCCAGAGACTTGAAATTCTCGTGAATGTGCAAGACACGGCCGGTCTGGGTACATGTCCGGGGTAGACTCCATGTCTGTCTGCGATTAGGTGTGGTACCCTTAGCTACTCCAAGCGGAGTTGGATGACAAACTGCCCGCCTTGCTAACGTGAATGATTACATCTGCCAGTGAGAGTCTGAGACGGAAAAAAATAGAACCCGTCAAGAGCGAGGACGACATCGTCTCCAGGTCGCTTGAAATATCGTGAAGGCATGTTGCCCCAACTGCGTTTGCTGATAATCATTCTGAGAGACTGTTAGGCCTTGTCCACTTAAGCTGGGCAATCTGGCGCCAGCGAAATGGAAAACTCCCCCATGAGGTATAATGTATCGTTATCAGGCAGACGGCCAGGTAAGATAAGCATACACCAATAAGATGCATCAGTCGCTGCTTGGGTCCTTGCCCCGGATATGGCTTCTCATCGATAACAGAAGCGCGAGGAGTGCTTAGCGATCCTTCCAGGCTTTCTTGATCGCGTGCAGAGTGCCTTACAATTCAAGGACGATGTGAGATACTGAGTAGTACAGAACAGAACAGAAACTAGGTTGCAAAACAGACTGGAGCACATTGATGGCTCGCTGTACATACAGCAGAATGAAGAGATACATCACACAAACGTTGCAACACCATATGTGATATTCATTATTGATCTATAACAAGTACGATGCAAATCTAAGTCCATGGATCCAACGTCCAATCTAAGAGTATAGACCAAGCAACACGATGAGATAAATAGCTACATCCAGCGTGCGATAAGGGTTATGCAATAAACAGATAGAGGATACGTCAAGCGATAAAGAGGAAAGGAAACACGCTAAAGAGGGAACATTCGATGCAAAAGGAGTGTCGTTGATATGATTCGGCCAAATACGAGCAAAACGAGTGTTGTAATCATAGAAAAAGCAAAAGTTCGTGAAGAATCGCAGCAATTACTAGATGACGGCAACAGGAAGTTAGCAGCAGCGATAGATAAAGGCAAAGGGGGACGTACAGTTGTATGCTAGACTATGTCGCATTGCGGGCAGGAACGATATATCCATAGACCAATTTCTTCGGGTCTTGAAGATCAAACTTGCGACGTCCCTTCTTAGCACGGGCCTTGCTATCAAGGAGCGGTCTGCATGTCACTTGATGCCGATCTAAAGAGTCGGACCTGGACCACCGCTTGCCGCAATAGGGGCATTCGTAGGACGTAGTATAGTGGATGCCCTCGATGTGACGGCCCAAATTGAGCATTGCCTTTGGTTTAGAGCAACCCTCGAATTTGCAGAGAGTCGTTCCTTTGGATTCGACACCGTGCCAATGCAACAGGTGATCTGCGACGAGGACTTTGTTCATTTCTACAAACAGCCCACAGGGCTGGTCCGTCCACTCGCATGCTCGTACGCAAGTCATCCCTGCGGGTAGTTCATTCGTGATCTTGACGGACCGCTTGGAGTAGGAATCATCGAGTTCCATCGCCCCAATTCTCCTCGTTCGAAGAAGATTACCGTGGGCATCGTGGGTCCTGCGACTGCTGATGTCTACCGGCTTCGGGTCGTGAACAGGCACAGCCATGACTACGGCAGTGGCGTCCGCTAGTCTGTAGAAACCAAACTTTCCCTCTCTCACTTCGTCTTCGTCGTCGTCCAAGCATCTGCGCTTGCGCGTGGTTGGTGCGGGAGACGAACTCGAACTGTCTTCCTCGTATGTAACGGCATGACGAGTTTTACGCTTGGGACGTTTGGCGCACGTCGTCCCAATGGGAGCTGAGGAAGATGGCTCCAAGCTGTTGTCATCACTCAGATACATTGTCGCGTCAGAGTCAGACGCGGACGGCAAAAAGGTTTCGGTATCCGACATCGTGTCCATGATGGCACCAGCGTGTGCGTTGCCATACGCGCGGGGTTCCGCTACCCAACGCTCTAGATCGATGACGGTAAGAAGGTGATTTTGAGTAAAATTAGGTCCATTCGCATACGAACCGCCATTATAGCCAGGGTGGGACCATGCGTGGCCCTCCAGCGATAGTTGAGGGACGACAGTGGCCTGCTGAGAATAGTATTGGTTCTGGTCCATTGGGGGAAACTGGGGGAGACCAGCCACCGGAGCGGTGAACTGGTTCAACGTCGGAAATGACGCCTGATTGTCTCGGACGACCTGCAAAGCCGCTGAAGACCTGGAAAAAAATAAATGAGAAATAGTTGGCACTCGGTTGGTGGCACGTACCACTGATGCGCCTTTAGGTATTCATGTTCAGCACGGGCCTGAGTCCATCTGCCAAAGGTCGTTAGTTTGGGTAGATGTTTTGAAGCAGAAACACATACTCAGCCTGCATGGCGGCTATATCGTTGGGATGAGCAAACTCTTGGACGTTTTCCGAGACCATGTTGGCATTGGCTTCGGGTTCGATTCTAGGTTCAGAACACGGATGGATAGACCGGCTAAGAAAATCATGAGGTGAACCGCGTCATCCGACTCGAGAGTGAACACCAACCTATCCAAAGACATATGAAAATCGTTGTACGAGACACTAAATGCGGAAGGCATCATCAGCATATGGATATACCGAGTCGACATGCGAGTAGACTTACTTAGACATATCAATGATTTGGACAAGTAATATCAAATGGCTAGGATGAAGTGGCAAAGGAAAGAGGACGAGAGATAGAGAAGTGAAGGAGAGAACGCCAGGTTTTTAACCTCACAACATGTGGATAAGCGCTATACAAAGCGCGTCTGTGGACGAGCATTATGCCCCGACAACATGTCGTAAAAAGGCAAGCGTGTGTGGTCACTCCACCATAGGAAACATATCTGTGGCGTCTATTCAACTGCTTTGAAGCACCATGTGTGCGTCAATCCACAAAAACACAAACGTTTCACCACACATCGCTCATCCTTTGTCAGACCTAGACGTGCGTGGGGCGATGAAGTAAGTACTGGCGCTTCCTCACTAAAGGATATGACATTACTAGTGCGTGCAACAGTACAACTCCATCAAGGTTCGAAGTATCGCAACAATGAGATTTCCGTGAAGGATGGTCACGGCACACTCAACTACAACCGCGAGCTTTGACAATGGTACCAGCTCGAGACAGCAACAAGCGACCTCCAGTACAAGCGGACAGCTGATATATTACAGCTGAATATTGCGCGGTAGAGGAACATAAGATGTGAAGGCGCGTAGCACCCCAGGCCTGAAACTTCTGACATATGTGATGTCAGTTGCATGTTTAATTGTAAACGTGCAAAGACACTTACCTTCGTTGTTCATTGCGTTGTGACCCAGCCTAGTCCTTGCCGCTGAGGTGAGAATTGGAGGGCTTGATATCATTTAACCACTTAATGGACACCGAAATACTTTTTCAGATCGAAACTATGGTTTGACATTAGCGTTTATGTGAAGATATTAGGAGTTAGGTAACAATGCAACAGAGAGAACGCAGCCTGTAATACCTTCATTATTATGATATGAGGGTAGCATTCTCTGGACTAGATGTCAACAGCTTCAAGTCATTTGAAGTTGAGGATACATCACATATTTGTTCAGCCTGAGATAGGCATATCATCACGTGCAACTTTGGTTATCACAATTCAGAGGCATGAAGCTGCACGCATAATACAAGGTTTGTAACGTTGATATCAGAATTCACCGTGGTAATTGTCAGTGGTGCTAGACGACTCGGAGCGAAGCGTACGCGTTGTTTTGGTCTGTTGTCCAAAGGCTTCCGAGAGTTTCCTTATTCGGATGCTGCACATTGCAAAATTCAAATCACTAGGTTCTCGACAAGTTCTTGACCATGTTTCAATGTGCAACCTCATACAGGTTTCTTCAGCAGGCCAAAGGACTGGCATCCACAGGTGAACAAGGATTATATTTTTCCTCTTTCTCCCACTCCCGGCTCGCGCCCATGAATTGTCAACTCCGGACAGCATGGACTCTCTAACTTATTTCGAACTTGTGCTCAGGCTTCAGCGCTTCATCACTATTCAAGCGCAAGGTACGGGTGCTCATAATTCCAATCGCACCATGTCGAATGTTCCGCCGTCCTTGAAGTCTGGCGCGCTCCCAAATAGCACGTGGAACACGCGAGGATGGACTGCCCAGGAGTTCCTCGCTCCTGAAATTGTTCCCTTACCAAGCATACTGGACTCTCTCGATACCGGTTCTTCCAACCACAAGGAGTCTGTCACTATCATGCGGGAGTTGGAGGGTTTGACTGGCATAGATGCACGGGCGCTCCTTGCCTTCTGCTCGAGAATGAGAGGCCCACGAGAGAAGTACAATGGACATTTAGTCATGTCACCACGTTACGGATACTAATTTTTGAGCATTTTTCGGTGTCTATTTACGGAGAGAAGATACGGAACGTGCTCAGCCGTCTCTTGCAGCAGCTCATTCAGGTGATCACTGCACCGGACTAGGTGAAACAATTATCCAACTTCAATTGTTGTCTGCCAACTGATATTGCCTCCGTACAACGCTCCGCCATGCACGTCACCAGCTCTATCCGAACACAATACCCCCCAGCTGCGGCATACTGTGGAGTGCACTTTGAAACTGTATACATACCGGGCAAACATCAGTGCTTTTCGTTTCGCAAACTCCAGATTGCAACTCCCTTGCATGGCATTTCCGGTCACCGAACTCAGACGGAGGCGCGGTCACAACTAGGAGACATTGTTCTTCCCTACAACGTCAAGATATATGGGCTCTAAGTCCTGCTAATCACAACAGAAGACCAGCTGGGCAGCGTTTTGGCGCACTTTCGCTGTGGCAGCCACGTAACAATCACCTAGCTGAATCGCGGTCTCATTCGTGAGCGTTGAGGTTGCTCGTTCGTCTTGGACAACCTTTTGCGCAGCATGGTGGGGAGTAAGGATCGCGTCAGATTACAATATCATCACACGAGTTGGGGACATAGCTTCCGTTGATGCCATGATGGACTCGTCAAGACACCAGTTATATTATCTCTGACGCAGTTTCATCCATACCTTGAAAGTATCTCTGCTGTACACAACGAAAAAAAATTGTAGTACTGGTCATTTTCATATCAAACTACTCATATGTGATGATGAACTAAATAAGATTTCATTCTTGTCAGGGTCTTGTAGCAATGCATTCTAGACATCAATTAATTCTATCAACTTCAGTTCTTTAGCTGTGGCAGTGTTGTGGGAATTCTCGTTGCCCACATGCCACCACCAGAGCAAACCTCCAATATTTGTCACATCGTGACCTAGTACCTACGGATCCAAGGATTGTAATATTCGACCGTGTTCAGATGCTAAACCTCTCAACACTCCAAACCTATCTCACACAACTACTCTCACCTACTGACACCATTCACACTGCACTCCTTCTGACACCAGAGGGTGCAATTGTCTCCTTTGCCTGTTCGTCAACGGCCAGTGGAAGTGGGAGCGATCAAAGAAATACAACGCACACGGTTACACATCCTAGCACCAATGGACATATGACCCCCCCTAATGCTCACGCGTCAAGCGCCAACGGACACACTCCGCCACCATGCCGTACTCCACCATTACGAGGGAGCACAGAATGTAGTACATCTCCGCACGCACTTGGTAAAGCTGCATCGGATAGCGGATATTCCCGGACGATGTGCTTACACCGGTCGAAAGACGAGATATGGATATTGGCCGGGCTGAGTGCTGAAGTGTGGGCTGAGACGAGGGGCGAAGAAGGGGTTCAAAAGGGGATGGGAATGGTTGAGAGTGAGGTGGGTTGTTGCTTCCCTTTTCTTTCCGAGTTCACGCGTACTCCTCTGCTTCTTCCCTTTATGCGAGCGTCTACTGACAAGTTGTATGTAGCTTGGACGAATAGTCGTCGTCCCTGTCGATAATACTAGTCCGGAATTACAAGATGAAAGAGAACCGCTGCTATTACTTGCTGTAAATGGTGGCGCAGAAGCTGATTGGAAGACTATGTGTGCAAAAGTGGGCCTCTCACATACTGATTCTCTTTAACACTAATGCACTGCCAGGCCAAAAAACTAGGAGCATACCTTGCCCCCTCTGTAAACAAACATCGTGGCGCTATCGAAGCGTCTCCGCTGAATCGGACATTGGCTACTACGAGCAAGAGCCGGACGAGGAGTACGACTACGTCACCAGGGGGATTTTTGCGGTAGTCACGCTGAAGCGCACGATTTGAACGTGTGCGCCTTGATGCTGCACGTCTGCGTCAGTAGCCAATGACAAGACGCAGTTTTGTATGCACACGACCTATGGTTGGTGCTGCCCTCCATGACGATGAACTAAAATAATAATACTACGGGTACCGTACCGCAGGATATCTAGTATCACCTAAGTTGTATTTTTGTATAATAGAGTGCTCTAGACAAGCTCTGGAGTCGGATTGATACGTGCGCGTGACTCTCCTCGGCCAGCGCGGGAAAAATAGAAAACGGGAAATTAGCTGCGTTGCATTTCCGTCACTGAGCACATCTTGATCGTCGTCGAGCATGGGGTCATGGTCGTCTGCAGTAACGGCGAGCATGCGTGTAGCGTCTAATGCGCGTAGAATTACACGACCCCGAAGTGCACGACACCACAGTGTACTGGCTCAGCCTCGTCCCGTTCCCTCACAAACGCCAACGTCGGCAAAAACAGACCCATACGTCCTTCTCGCGCCGCACCTCGAACAGATGCGTACTTCCCTGCTCACTCTCCTTGGCAGTTCCCATCCTTCCCTTAATGCCATTGCTCAATACTACTTTCTCCACCCCTCCAAACAACTCCGGCCCCTCCTCGTCCTCCTTTTCGCGCGTGCAACAAACGGACTAGGCGCTGAATTCTCTCAAGTAAACTGGGCAGCGGACAATGCAAAGGCACACCAACAAGAGCTCGACGCGCCATTGACTCGGAAAGATATCCTATGCGACTGGAACCCCAGCATGCCAGATCACACCGCATCATTCGAGAGCGCGTTCGAACTGCGCATACCCCCCACCCAACCACCACCATATACCCCACAACCCCCACCCCTCCATCAAACTCATTCCCAGGCACTCACTCATACTTTACTTCCTACGCAGTTGCGCCTAGCACAGATCGTGGAGATGATACATGTTGCTTCTTTACTCCATGACGACGTCCTTGACAAGTCCCCCCTTCGTCGTGGTGCACCTAGTGCACCCGCTGCATTTGGCAATAAGCTAGCTGTCCTTGGTGGCGACTTTCTGCTAGGACGCGCCAGTGCTGCCCTGAGTCGGCTAGGGAGTCATGAAGTGGTAGAGCTCATCGCGAGTGTCATCGCTAATCTTGTGGAGGGTGAGATTTTGCAGATGAAAGGGAGTGGAACCGAAGCTGCCCCCCATCCTTCGTCGTCTGCGACTAGTTCAATTGACCTTAAGGACATTCATACTTCTCCTTCACCCTCATCCTCCGATAAATGGTCTATCTATCTTAAAAAAACTTATTTAAAAACGGCTTCTCTAATGGCTAAAGGCGCACGGGCTGCTGTTGTGCTAGGAGGATGTAGAGAAGGCGAGGTGTGGAAGGAAGTGGCCTATGCATACGGGAGGAACTTGGGTATTGCATTTCAGGTGTGTTCGCACAATTCTTCACGTGTCTGCTTGCGCTTTTGGCACTTCACTTTGTCACTGCACACGTTATTCCTCTTCGCTACTTCATCTCGTCTTGTCACATTGCAATCTATCCTCGTTCGTACTCATTCCTTGCCCAGCTCATAGACGACACTCTCGACTTTTCCTCCTCCACAGCCCAGCTCGGCAAACCCGGCTTTGCAGACCTACGCCTAGGACTCGCAACAGGACCCGCACTCTACGCAGCTGAGGAATTCCCAGAACTCGAAGCCATGATCGAGCGGCGGTTCGGTAAGGATGGTGATGTTGAGAGGGTGAGCATTGCTTCCCACCAACCACATTTGGACAAGCGCTGACTTTTATATTGCTTTCTTTGCGTGTAGGCCCTGACGTTGATCTCGTCTTCTAATGGTGTAGAGCGCACGCGTGAGCTAGCGCGCGTACATGCTGAGAAAGCACGGGAGGTGTTGACATTATTGCCTAAAAGCGAGGCGAGGGACGCTTTGGAGGCGTTGACGGAGGGTGTTGTGAAGAGGCGGTGGTGAGGCCTGTAGAATTCCCATATGTTGTGCCACGACGGGACCGGGCGTCATCCGTTTTTCAATCGATGATTAAGAATAACAACATATGTAGGTCGTCGGGAGGCATCATTAACATGCCGCAGGCTCTCTGTCGACTTTGCGTGATTGAGAGATATAATTTTATCGGACCTTATTACGATTAAATGAATCGTTAGCCTAGAACTTGAATATTATAGGCTCGTGACCATCGGACCTATAAAGCTGTGTATCCCAAAGGGCTATGATCGTAACTCTGACAATCTGAGGCTAAGGCATGGTACTTGAGTGAAATTCTATGCGGCTACAAATAATAAAATTTAAGACAATGGTTATGGCAAGGTTCAGTTATGAGACGGTTCAGGAATGACATGAAAATTTTAGGTGTGAAAAGGTTCAGAAATGCGGAGGATTGGGAGGAGACAGTTAATAAGGTTTCAGCACTTCACAGCAAGCTTTAGCTTATCTGCTCAGTGGCTTTACTCCCCTTTGCTCCCTATTTACTCCAAGGCAGTTAACTTTGAACTCCCCTATTATCACGAGGCTGACTCGAAGTATCTGCTCTTGCAGGAGCTGGAACCATCCGATTTCAGCTGCATTCCCTCATTCTACCCGCAACACACCATATTCACCTGTGGTGCACCTCGTTCTTCCTCTCCTACAGATAACAGAGCTTGTAAAAGTCATGGCCCTGTTGCTGATTGTGATCGCTGAGGTCATCATCGAATTCACCGCGCATGTCGACTGCTGTTCCGTATCCGCTCCCCGTAACGCCACAATATCCAGGGTCTGCGGTAATTGTTAAGGGTCACAATGGAGGGAACAAAAATGAGGACGTACGCAGGACAGCCGACAACGATTGCCACGACTGCTAAAATAGTATCGCCTTTTCCGAACCCGAGTGCTTTGTACATTGCTGGAGCAAACAAGGGAAATCCAAAGCCTGCCAGTGACCGCAAACAAGAGATAGCGGCAAGAGCTAAATGTGAAATATTTGAGATGGGTAGGTAACACGGGAACCAAATCTACCCACCAGAAGCGGCATGAAGCGTAAAGCAATCAACGATGTAGGTCTGGATACACTGGAAATTCAGAATGATGCCTGCTCCCACAAGCGCAATGCCCTGTCAAAACCATCAATAGATGAACAACGCTAGGAGAATCAAACCAACAATATCTGGAGCTATCCAATACGTATGAGCTTCAGATGTCCAGCCTACAATCAAGCACCCAATTGGAAGTAAGAGAGATCCGGGAACCATAGCAGCTGATGGTACACTGAATGAGTACTTAAGAAAAGAGGCGCTAGGACAATATGACGAACGCAATCTGAACTCCGGCTTTGCAACTCCACCGTTTTTACTCCTGAGATAAATGTAAACTTTGTCCATCGTTCTCGCATTTAATTGGGAGGCCGCTGACAATCCTATGCCAAGTGCAGCGTAATGAAGGCCGGAGATTCCTACCGACTGGTGGTATGTGCCCTGGAAGATCGATGGCATCGTCGTCAAAAATACTGAGACGATATAAGATCAATATGTATAGAAAATAAAATGCCTTACGATAAAGTGTTCCGTATAGATATGCCATGTAAACGCCGAGAAGCTGCACGATCGGCTCATGCGCAAAGAGTACAAAAGGGCGGCTGAGTGATTTGGCCATGATGGCCTGCCAACTATATACGCATCGTCCTCAGATAATATCTTATAGGGATTATAAAAGGACTCACGAACGATCTTGACCTTCGAAAACGGTACGGATTTCTCTGTACGGAGCTTTTTCGGCATCCATCGATCTGCGAATCTGCTCCGCCTTCCTTTCCAATAAGACGGGCGCGTAAGCTGGACAATTCGTAAGTATCAGCGGATCACGACCAGTCAATTCCTTACTCTCTTGAAGTGCAAACATTCCAATGATTTGAATGACTGCATCCACAATGCACGTAGACCAGAACTGTCAGAGAAATGAGAACAGTTCTCTATTGGCAGAAGCATTGCATACCACCCATCTCCAGGTCGAGTATTGAGCTACCCTGAGGAAATTTAGATGGTGTCATTGAACTTAAATAGCCACAAACCAGGCACCCGTGATAGGTCCCACGACAGGGCCCATTAGTGGAGCTAAGGAGTAAATGGCGACAGCTCTTCCTCGTTCATCTGGCTGCCAGCAATCCCCAAGAAATCCACCGCCAATCTGAAGAGGGAAGCCATTCAGAAGAGATACTTCCGACTTGAGGAAACTTCAACTTTACCGACAAAGGAGCGCTGCCTCCGAGGCCAGCAAGAAATCGGAAAACAAGAAGCTGGGATTCTGACTGTGCGAAACCACAGACGAGATTCCATACTATCATGTCAAAAATGAGAGTGAGATTATGGGTTGGCTTGTAAATGTCACACACCAAGATACCATAGATTTGCCAATTGCAAAACGCGTGACCGTCCGTAAATCTCACTCAATGGACCCAGAAATAACGGCCCCATGGCTATTATTGGTTAGTGGGGTGTCTAGCATCCGCCAAATTGGCTTACCGTATGCAAGCACGAAGATCGATGTTGTGAGTGCAAGCATAACATCATTGTCGATCCCGAAGGTAGAAGCCACTTGGCCAGTAGCAGGTGCAATCATAGAGGACGAAACTGGACTGATAAAAGTAAATGATGATATAATGATTGTAGCAGCCCATTTGCGTCTATAGCTCCAACTGTACAAGAACTATAAGCCCAACAGCCATGCTACTCTGCTAACGCAACGCACTTTTTAGGATTTTGAGGGTCATCTGGGCCGTCCCAGTCAACGATCAAAACATCTGCATTGTTTGTTGTCGCAAGCAGCTCGCCATCGCCAGTGTTATACGACTTCTGAGAATGTCTTTGTTCTGGAATATGATGGACTGATTTTGGCGCGTGATCACCTTGTAAGGTTGGTGCGGGAGACACCGCGCCTAGTGTCCCTTCCACATCACTCACGGACGCAGACATTTGGTTTGTGGTGGACATTCGCATCTGCGATTGACACCCACATAGTCCTTTCCTACTTATAAGTCGTCTGACAACCGGTTACTGTCACCATTACAAAGGCGACCAGAATTGAGTAAACAGGCCTATGTCATTACTGTGGTGCTTACCTCGAAACAACTTTAGAGTCCTGAGACCCTGTGCTTGACACATTTTAGTTTACTGTAATTTGGTCACCGGCCGCACCGTCGGCCGATAGTCATGTACATAAACTCAATAAGGCGACAAGAGTGACAGAAAGCGATAAGGGCTAAACTTTACAACAAACCGACAAGATGAGTCTCGGCTTCCCAATCTTTGACCCCTCGAATGGTTCCACGTGATAGTGAGCAGTTGCGGGACCTAGAAGGCTAAAAAGGGTACTTACTGGTCCCGAGTTTACATATAGCCGGTAATGTTTATTTTTTATTTGTCAGCTTGACAAAAAAAACGACAGACCTTGTTCAAACAAATAATATTGCACGTCCTCCTCTACATGACCGAGATTCATGGACGTGGTAGTCGACCACTTGAAGAAAGAAGAAGGGTACACGGTCGCATGTGAGCACACCCGTGACACGCAGTACTATAACGGAGCGGTGAAACTCACGGAACTTGCTCGTCGCTCGATTGCACCTGATAATTCTCCGATTTCACAGCACACTCGTCATGAACTAAGTCACAACTCACACCATTATCCTCTCCGGAATGCGGAGAATAGGGAATTAGTCCATTCCCGTAGGAAGAAGCGATGCCGGAACTATTTTGGTGTTGAAAAGTACACAACGGGGCCACAGAACCGTTCCGTATGGGAGAGCATGTGTGCGATTGGAGCGCCCATTGTCACACTGTCAGGAGGCCGAACTTAGGGGACACATGTATCACAATCAACTGTCTACCTATTGCCGTGTGGTCGCTGGATGTCACGGAGGAGCGAGCGAACTTGAAGCAAAGGTCAAATCCTTCCTCTTCATTAACATTGCTGCTTGAGATTATACGGATAGCCATTGAGCTCGTAGCCACAGTGGAAGACACCGATAAGGGATAATTTCTACGTAGCAGCCGTAGATATCGGTATAATGCGAATTAGTTTGAATGTGGAATGCGACGAGAAAGAAACTACTTTAGTACTTACATAACGGGACGCCCCATGCAACCCCATTAATACTGGACATAGCCGAATTCCTGAGTGGTTGGTCATCACAGGTGTCAGTTTACTGTCTTGATGGTCACCAACGACATTACAACATTACAGAGGAACGAGCATACCGAAGGCAGTTATGATACACCGAGGAGTAGGAGGCGAGCAGAACAGGACCAGCTTTTACTACCGGTGATGCCACTTTATGCTCGGATCATCAGACAGTGGGCCCGTAAGGCGGGCTCGGCGTTATGAAGATTCCTGTGTTCTTTGAGTCGTACACCTAATCTTACGGAGCTTGGTTGCGTTTGGCGTCCAATCCTGGGTTCCGCTTTGTAACAAGCATCACATCCTGACACTAGACTCGTAACCAGTCTGACTATGCGTCAATTATTGACGTAGTCATGTCCAAAAATTTCACTGGTTCAAACGTTCACCGGCTCACCGAGTCCCAACCCTGACTCGGACTCGGACGGATAGCGATGTGGCTCGTGCATGGTACGTAAACCACAGTCGGTTTCCCCTTTTCCTCTACCTACGCTTGGCCCTCAGGAACTCGTGACGAACATGTCAATCATCGCCAATGCCACTTGTCAGATTTTACTTTGTGCCTGAGCTAGCGCTTTCCCAGTGGCTTATGTGTTACCTTCTTTCCTGTCTGGATTAGCTGGTTTGCGACACCACGCATTCTCCTTGGACGAGTCGAACTTTTACCTTGTCACGCCCCAGAGCTCCTGCCAAACATGTTCACGGGTTATAATTCACAATGTCGCGTGTAGACAAGGACCATTCAGGCCTCAGGGCGACTGATACAGTAGGGGGGGTGTATATCGATTGTGATAAAATTCCATGCTACGATAGCACGGTATAGAAGATGAAATCAACGATATCATCCTAGAGCTTCTACTTTTGTCGTGCCGCAGTCGTCGTATCATTATAGTAATACCAAGAAACAGAACTTAAAGTTCCGAACGCACGATTCAGTAAGTGTCACCCGGAAATGATTTCTTCAGGGTCGAGACAAGTTAGTTCTGATGCGCCCTTCTTTTCCCAGTGAAACGTGCACATGCAGAACAAGGGTATCCTCGCTATCAATATCCCGCAAGCCGCCGTAGCCTAATGGTACGACTTACCCATGTCACATTATCGACGCTTCACTCATGAGTACTAGTAGTGACACTGTATGAGTCTCCACATTGGAAGAATTTCAAACTAAAATTTACTTGCAGGATCGAGGCGCTAGGGTTTGATTTCCTATGAGATACTCAGGGGCACATGCCATTCTGCAGTACTGGTGGATATTTATGCCAGAGTATTCAGCATCCTCATACATTAGCAGACCTATAACATAACAACCGTATGTCTCTTCGTTCGCTGTTGGAGCTTGGGCTCTCGAAAGCTTCAACCATATATTCCATGCCTGTTCGGCAAACTCCCGTGACCAAACAGAGCACGCGAGGAGTGCTCTCTCCACTGCTTCGCCCAAAGGTTCTGCTGACGCGGACGGAAGAAGGTTTGGTGAGCTGGGACCAGAAAGCGAGTCGCAACAAGGATGCTCGAAGCGCAATCACCCAGAAAGATGATCAAGCAAAATTTGAAAGACTTTCTGACGTCAAAGTTTGCTTCGTTCGCTCAAGGGCAGGCCTGGAGGATTTTGGGAAAAGTCTTCAAGAACCAGGCATGCTCGAGAACAAATAGCGTCTAGAAGGTCCTGTAGGTCTGCTTTTGGCCAGGCGTCGTTTGCCTGTACAATCAGTGAGTCTCTCCCATAACCAAGTATGAAATGTTGCGCACTTGAATCTGAACATGTAAACTGCCCTTCATGGTCCATATGTGGATTATTCTGCCAATTTGTTCAGACACACCCAATGAACAGACTTGAAAAACTTCTTACGGAGTTAAAGACGTTAGTCTGACTGAAAACAACACAGACTCCAGCTCAATGACCGGCTCAGCGGTATGCCTCCCTTTCCATGATAACGGAAGTCGCCGCTCCATAGGGCCAACGTTGTTGATAGAACTCTCGAAGTTTGGTCTTTCTGACAGAGCATCTGGTTGATATGCCCTTGCAGCCTGGACGTGCGGCATACAGGGATGCGTAGCAAACCTAGCGTATTTTTGCTCTATGGCTTGGGTAAGTTGCAGGAGCTGCCTTCTGGGCGATACTATGGGCGATACTTCAGCCATCGAAATCTGGATCGGTATATGCGAGCGGGAAGAGATGAAATGCGTTTTCGTATCGTAGGGCAGTTTCAGGTGCGGAATCAGCGAGATACTGAAATTTCGTCAGTAGATTTACATCTCTCTGTGTTGTGGGTACTCACGCAGAGGAGTTGCCTGGAAAGTGGTAGGCATCCCACACGGATGGTGGAAGTTGGTTGCGGGCGAGCAGCACCATGCAATATGCAGCTTCAAACAGATGAGACATCGAGCAACCGGTGATCCGTGTTTTGTTGACTAGCCTACGCGTTAATGTCGGATCGAGAACTCGCTCCAGTCTACATGTCTTTCCGACGGCACTTTGTGACATTCGAAACGGACGCACAGTCAAAGGTATCTACATTAACTGGTCGGAATGGGAGTAGGAGATAAGCATGTCAAAAACATACCGTGTGGACCGCTTCGGAGTCTGACAATTGCTTCAGGAGCTCGATACCTGCGATATCCCAATCTTCACGAGGACCACCTGTGGCACCAACAGGACCAAGGGGCAGGTTGTGCCATTCTGTCCCCCACAGTAAGTTCTCAGCAGGTTCGATGACATCATTCGTCATCCATTGGAGCATGAGTGCAAAGGCATTGAGCGTCGGGCCACCGTCCATGATGGCATGCGGACCATGAAAATAGAGGCCGTGTTTGTTATTGTTGCCCAAGAGAAGATAGCAACGAAACCAGATGGGACTTGCGTTCTGGGGCTGGTAAGGGAGTCGACGTTGACTAGTTGCTTCGACGAAAGCATCAACGTTCGGATCGTGTTGCACGATGCAAAAGGCATCGTTTGTCCAGCGCGTGAGCTCCGATAGACCTTGTACAGGCGCATATACCCATGATCTCGGAATGGGACCGGAAACGTCACCCACTATATTGGTTGCAATGATTGGACACGAAAAGCTACGTATGTGTTCCCTGTGAGGATACGCCATGCACAGGATGAGGCAAAAACTATTACCGAAGCCTAGCGAAGGCATTGCGAGCGCGTTGTTTCACCTCGTCCGCAGCATATAGGCTCCGAAATGTGAAGCCGACACATGCGTCGGTCATACTGAAGAAAGAGTGAGCATATGTTGGCAATAAATGACTTTGATTGGGCTACCCATCAAGTAGAACGCTAGTTCGGTCATCAAATAGCTCAGATCCTAGCAACGGCCTTTGCACAAGAAAGTCAGAATAAGGGGATATGGTATTTCAAACGGCAAATACCTGGTGTAGAGCGGGGTTTTGCGACCAGATATGCGCATCCATGTCGGTTCTGGATAATGAGGGGCGTTCATTGCGGCGATGGAACCTTGAGTGTGCGTTGACGCTTGGCTTTAAATAAAGCCGCCCATTTGCATAGCGCAGCACTGAAACCTTCATAATTTAATATTTCCAAGAGCTGTGGCGCTGATCGGAATGCAAGATATGATCCAGTTACCACGCGTAATTGAACGTGAACGGTATGTATTTGATCAACGTTCAGCAACAAAGATCATGACAAGCCCAGGGGTGCACTTGCAAGGAACGAAACGTTGAATAACGACCAGTCGCAGTGACGAACGGCATCGCCAGCATGCTTGGCATTTCTCGGCTCATATCAGGCCTGTGCGGGCTAGCCTGCTATAGATTTGCTATTGATAGTGTCTCAGTTTCGAATGACCTGCCTAGATGTCAATAGACAATATTCAGAAGATCGATATCTTCAATATTGATACAATTCGGCCCGTCGTATCCCTTATATCCAAAGGACGCATGGCTTGGTGCGAGACCCGGAACCTCGAGGCTTTCAGTCAACTCGAAGCGGATCATCATGGAACCGAGACAAAGCCATCAAGTACAAACAATAGCCAAACAATCCTTAGCTACCGCGACCATGTCCGAGTTCGCAGACAAAGCCGAGTTTATAAAATGTATGAATTCAAAATACTCTTTCAACCAAAATCTTCACTAACCCACCTGTCCAACTGGCCAGCAAAACTCCAAGAACGCGAAGAGTTCGTTCGTGAGTCTTGGGTGAAAGCCATGGAAGCCCGACTTGTACGCGACGAGCTCGTGAAATGTCATCGGCTTGAGGGTGTTAACCACCTGGAGAACTGCAGATGGCTCTCGGACAAATATATTTCAATGCTCAAAGAAAACAAGGTATGTGTTATGCACACGTTCTCACTGATACCACTGAGCGGACGTTGGTAATAGGTCAAGGGCTACAAAAAGATTGATTTCTAGATTGTCGTAGTGCTTCTTAGAATGACCACTCGAATTACACAGCGGCATTAATCGATGTTTAAGTGGGTGTCCGCGGTGTTGCACTGGTAACCATTCCGCGCCCGATAACGCATCGCTACTCAGGAAACACGGAAGACTGAGAATGGTCAAATTGTGAGGGAGAGGAAGAATTATATTCCCACAAAGTCTCTCGCGGCTCTGATCTGCCTCTTCTAGCAATGCCCAGACTCTCAGCATGCAAAGCAGATTCAAGATGCAGACGAGTAATTGACGACCGATGTCGAGGAAGGGCCCAGAACATGATACTTCCACCGATGTTAACATCCGGGACACTTCCATATCACATATGCTGCACGTGAATCATCACCTGTATAAGTTATCCGATAGGATGCAAAGATGGTCAAGTAGTTGACAATTATTTTGCTCTGCCCATCATTACTTCTTTCCCTTCCTCGTCCTCTTCCCCTCTGTGCCGTTTGCCTCACTGCTCGATTCCTCGCTGACCGCAACGCTGTCGGGCTTTGTCTTCTTTCCCTTTGTCTTCTTGAGGTGGTGCTCAGGAATCCACTCCTCTTGGTAGCCACTCGAACCACTCGCGGTCACTGGGCCAATAGGTGCGCTGACCTGGGTTGGACGTTTGCGTTTCGGCTTCTGCGAAGGAACATATGCATTGTATGCTGTATATGTCACACCCGCGAATGCGGCGAAAACTATGAGGTAGGTGGAAAAGCTGTTGACGAACGCAAGGTTAGAGAGCACCAAACGAGGTGACTTGAAACAATTGCTCGTACAGTTTGAGATCTAGCCAGGATGGTTCAGGCTCAACAATCGTCACCACTGAGTCGTAAGCTGTCACACGGTATTTGTCGTCCTGAAAGATGCGTTTATAAGTATGACAGTAGTGAGTTTCAAGCACTTACATCAACGGTGTGCTCTAGCCAGATGTTGAGTCTCAAGTCTCCCGGCTAGTTCATGTTGAGTCAAAGTGTAATGAAGAATAATTGGGTGGTCATACCTTGAATCTGGAACGAAACTCGTCAGCACAGATACATTTACAAAGAATTTAAGGGAACTCACTCAGAGTAGAAAGAGTAAGGTATTTGTAGTTTTGAACCCTCGAGCAGGGGGATATCATACGCCAGTGAAGACGTCTGACGACACAAATGTTAGACAACTCAGAAGTAAGCATAACACGATACCGACAAACATTTTTTATGAGAGTTCCAGTCTCGGAATGATGGAACGACCCCGCAACCGACTGTAAGGTCACATTCTTGTCAGACTTGTTCTCAACCAGAAGCAAAATCTGGTTCCGCTCTCCGTTCACCACGTCTGTTATGCTATGTGTCAAACTTTGCGAACTAGAGTGAGAAGCAGTACCAGCACGTACGGCCAAATGGGTTGCTCTCGGGGAAAGTGGTTTCAATGACTATCTCAGGATCATCCAGAGCTATACAACGAATATGCTTTCATTATTCGGTGGAAAAGTGAACAAACTCACAAGCAGAAACTCCCAGTGCCATCAACACGGTGGCAAGGCTCAGACTACGCGCAATGTAAATTGAGGGGCGCATATTAGATGAAGCAAAGTAAACGAAAGCAAGATGCACAAAATGTAAATGGTGGAACGGTCTAGTCAGTTTCGAAGAAGACGTTGAACACGTTACGTCTCCTAGACTCTAGGGCAGGTTTCTCACGTTCACATGCATGCAGAAACCATGATCTTGCTCAGCCACTGGGTAAACATGCATCACCGGAGGCAAGACGAACGTGCAGCATCATTGCATGGCAACTATTAGTACTCGGCACTGATATGTAGCCTGAGATCTGTAGCAGGTTACTGTCACGGATTTAAGGTTTTGGAACGGTCAATGTTCTCCCCATCGATTCAACTGACGCAGAGCATCAAGTTCTACAAGCAATTCACTTGCCCACCAGACCATAGCTCGGGATTAAGGAGAAAATGGCTTCCATGGGGTATGTCCACCAAATCTCGTGATATGGATCTGCGCTCAACTTTTACCGCTGAACTTGCCAAACATTTAAGGACCTTGTCGAGGCCCGGCGTCCGGGAGCCGCCTTTGACTGCCGGCACGAGTACACATGTGTTCTCCTGCTCTGTGGATCCGACTGTGACATGGGCGAGTCATGGCATACGCCATGCCCATCCAGCCGTGCCTCTTACTCCCGAGATACCATCTGCCCTCCAGCTGGCGGTTAGGCCGTAGCCAGCATCTGCACATATCGACCTTCTGACATTCCTATTATATATACTAGTAAGCCGCATGTCGCCTATATCCTTGAGGAAATGGTTTGCGCCTCTTCTCGGACGGCTCTTGCATAGGCGAGGGAACGTTGGTCGGGTAAGCTGAAGAAACCAGTGTCTAGTTTGGAAACATAATCACTCCTTTATGTTCAATCTAGACACTGGTTTCTTCATCAGATATTTGAAGGACATAGCATGAAGCTGTAATTGTTGTTCCTATGACCCTGCATCGCCCTTGTCGGCGCAGTGCACACCATACCGTGTTTCCACTGCGATCAGCTCTTGTTGTGCTCGGGAGTGCATTAATATACGTAAGTATTATTTGCGGCTGCTCAATAAAAACTGGTGCAAATGCAATTTCACAGGAGAATGATGGGTCACAAGAGATGAATGAGTGGGGACCAATTCACTGGTGGTGGTGTTGAAAGTATAGGCATGCTTTCATAGGACGGAGCACGTAGGGGCTTATCAATTCGGTACAAATGCTTCCAGTCCGCTGTGAGTAGAGTGGCTCCCAGGCGGACTAAGGTACGTCATACGGTCCGACCACGTGTTTGATAGAACCGTCACGATTGGCCATGTAACCGTGTACTCTGATGAAAAGTCCACCTTGAAAGATGATGGCGGCCTGTCGACTCAACAGCGGACCGCTCCATTGGTGCATTGGGCACGGCAGGTGCTTGTGAATATACACACTCGACACGGCGACACGTAAGTTCAGCATCGTACTTGACACGTACATACTTGAGTCGCTCGTGAAAACTCGATTCAGTAGGTACAGCCAAAGTGATAGGACTGCAGCTATGCGGCTGACGTGTGACCGACCAAAATGCGCAAAAGTATTACATGGATGCCTGCTTTCAGAGACAAAAGCTTTTAGCCTTCTCAAAGCCCCTGCCAGGTAAAGGTGGCGTGTGATAACGACCTTGGTCACTGCAGTGTACATTTTGCAACCGGACGCCGGCAACTGGACGCGGCTGTAGGGCATTTCACACTTACGGAATGTTACATCCGCTCGCGAAAAACCGATACCTGTGTTAGAAGACAAGGGAACAGCCTGCCCTTGATGAATTGCGTCCTAGTCATCGCTTATAAAGTGAGTAGCATCAGGATCGAGAAACACCATAGTAACACCGCCTGCTTGAATTGTATGCGGTAGTTTGGACTCAGCAGTGTCGCATCAAAGTGATGAAATGCTCGATATCATTGTCCACTTGTGGACTACAAGTAGACGCTGACAAGAAATCCACCAACTGCTATCATTGTCATTGTAGCGTCGAAGAGACGGCATAGTTGATTGCCTCGGACCAAGCAGCGAACAAAGAGAAGTTGTAAACACGGTCTTTGTTTCTATTATCACCTTCTTGTCACAGGGGCTCTGTTTCAAGGCCTATTGAAACTAAGATACATTAGCAAGATCTCAGGTAGTCAGCCCTCGAGCCTCACTTAATAGCCGCATCAACAACAGGGCCGGAGCTCCACAAGCTCACCGCGCGGATCCAATCATCATCAGATGGTCGACCATAGCCATGGTCCCACCATCACAATGGGCAGGAGGTAGCGTGGCCATCCGCCTCCATACGACGACTTGTCACCAATCAGGGTTGATTCGAGTAAGCGACAGGACAGTGCGACTAAAGCTGACTGCGTCAGGGACGGGGAGGAGAGCCCACAGTAAAGGTCACCAACCTGCAACTACTCACGCGCAGGACCCACGCTGAAATAACTGCATCGGCACGATCGCCGCTGTAGCAATTGCCAAATCAGGGACCAGTAGCCAATGGACGGCCGACAATCATTAATCAATTGATCAATGCAAGGAATGCCTGCATCGTCGTATTCCCCGTCAAATATCCTGCTCCACAGGATTTTCTTCACGAACTCCGACCGAGCGAGGTGGAAGTAGCATGTTACATGTGTAGCAGGACGCCGCGTGCAAATGAGTAGGACATAAGATACTGCTTGACGGAAGCGGTAGAGAACAATTATTGCACTTGTTAGACACACTTGATTGGAACCTGATGGTAAAAACGAAAAGAGAGAAACCAGGGAATTAAACAGGTAGGAATGAGAGTGGGTGTGAGGCTTGTACATGACCAAGATGGATTATCATAATAACAATTCCAATGTGTGTGAGTGAGTGTTGTGAGGGTGAGATGACAGCGGCGGAGTGTATACCGGCAGGCAGGATGTTGGTCGGAGTGCGTGATCAAGTCAAGGAAGTTCTACAGCGTGGATATAGATAAAGGGCTACAACTCTTCGGGAATGTTAAAAGAAAAGTACGGATGGTGCAATGCGTCTCGAACGGTAATTCGCTGTGCTGGGTCAAAGGCAAGTAATCGCCGCACAAGATCCACAAATTGTTTGTTGATCTGGTCCGTCGGAGGTATTACGTCCTGTGAGGTGAGGAGTCGTTAGGAGAAGCCCGGCCAGTCCACAACTGGTCGTCCTACCTGAAGAGGTCGGGTAGCTCGCACGTCCTTCTTGCTCTGCCGCGAAGCCTTCGGCTTCGGCCAGTCCAGCCGTGCACCGTCCTTGAAGAACTCGGGCTTAGCCCGCGCTCCGAGACGGGCGAACCGATCAGGCATTTTACCCATGACCATCTCCATCATTGCGAGATGCTCCAGGTTGTCATGCGTCTGATACAAAGCGACACCAGTGTAGAATTCAACCAAAATGCACCCTAATGAGTAGGCGTCACACGGGTATGACCACCCTAAACCTAGAATGAAATGAAATGTAAATATGTGTCGGAGAAAAATTGAAGAGGATCCCACTTACCAAGAATAATCTCAGGCGCACGATAGTGCCGCGTGGAGACGACGGTTGAGTGATACTCTTCCTCAAAGATTGCTGATCCAAAATCTATAAGACGAATATCTGTTGAAGAGAGCATTCTTTTCGTCCGTGTTGGTGCGTTACGCTGACAAAGCAGGTAAGTTATGGAACTCTGACACATCGGTCACATCAAATCGTACCTTGCCAGGTACAGATACCACAGTCAGTCGGTAATCGTTGCGTACAAGCAAGATATTTTCCGGTTTAAGATCCGTATGAATCAAGTGAAGGTCATGCAAGACTGACGCAACATGAGAACTCTAAGACGAAACAAAGGATACGAAGCACTTACAAGCTACGCTGCCAAGCAATTGCCTGGCGAACGACTGTATATGGTTTCGCGGGAATGGCGCAAATTCATTTTCCTTCAAAAAATCGTATACACACATGCCAAGTAATTCTGACACCAGGCAAATATGGTTTCGATGGTCGAACCAATGCAACAGATGAATACATTTGCTGAAAGATACGTTTAAAACGAGTAGATAGTTCGTTGTCGATACGCACTGGACGTTTGATGGATCGCGCTCCTTCAATTTCTGGAGGACGCGAATCTCGATCTTGCTGGCATCGCGATACTTCGGGATAGCGCGGATAATCTTGATCGCTACCCGGTTCTGGTTATGGATATCAACCGCTTCTACAACCTTGCCAAAGGTTCCTTGCCCCAAGAGACGAACAGTACGATCTAGAAGAGAGAAGTTTCATCAGTTGAAAAGATATGATCGGGGTAAGAGGGTGACTCACATCGATTATAAATAATGTCATCTGGGACAATAATGTAATGGCCCTCCTTATCATCACAAGGAATGTTGCCATTGACAGTCTGTGAGTGAAACGTGAGTATGCACTGGAAGCGATTCTGTAGAACGAACGATGATTACGTACATCAGCCGTGGCAGCCCCGCTGCCGCTGGCCCACGATTTGGTCGACGCCACGGGTTGCTGCTGGTGTAGTGGAGCGGCTGTCTTCTTTGTGACGATTGGACGGGAGTCATCAGCAGGCTCCCGTCTCCTCTTCTTAGGCGCTGGCGCCACGATCGCTGCGGACGAAGTGCTCGCTGAAAGGGTCTGTGCCTCGGCAGCAGCACGGGCCCTTGTCCGTATTGGGGCGGAATACACTGGAGATTGATATGAGGTCGAAAAGACGTTTGTATGGGTTGTTGCGGGCGATATTGTAGAAGGAGGAGGAGTATCTTCAATGACTATGACTTCACGGACCCTGCCTTCTTCGTCGACCTCTTGAACTTCGCTGTAGCTCACAGTATATTGATGTGCACGCTTCCTCTTGCGAGAAGTAACTGGAGGAGTGGGCATGACTATGGAATTTGGGAGGGCTCTTGTACTATTGAGAGTGAGAGATTGTGGAAGATATTGAGGCAACATTGGAGCAAGCTGACGATGCAGAGCTGTCTGCATCGTCAAAAGTGATGCTGTAGCCGTGATGGCAATGGTAGAAGGCGAACAAGGGACGTTAAGGGAAGGATATTGAAAGCCAGCGTAGGAGCTGAACGGTGGACCACTTTGAGAGAATGTAACGCAGGATGAAATGGTAGTTGTTGTGGTTTATTTATCACGAAGTTATAAAGTTGGTTTAGCCACTCGCTGATAGCCACAAACCACGTTAAACCAGCGCACGGACAGCTGTGGTTTGTCGAACGCTTAAAACTGAGCCGGGGCCCTCTAGGGAACCTTCTGCCAGAATTCTGCTATAGGGCTTCCTGTGGCCGCCGGTATACTCAGAACCCGACGGCATTCTGCGATATCATTCGAGGCCATGAGCTAGCTCAGAATCCAACATGGAACTATTTCGGAGTCCTATCGTGGCCTGTTGTGCAGGGCCTGATATATATATCTTGTTTCACCAACCAAACCCCTCAAGCTGTGTCATTATCATATGTATGGGCAAATTTATATCCCATTTCTTGTTTTTAGGTCCACGTTTGTCCCGCTTATGATCACTACCTTTACCAATTTCCCTTCTGTTGCTACCGACCGACCGTATCATGGGCCATCAGCCTAGAGCCGCTCCGATGACGTTCACGGCATGACTGCTGCTCCAAGCCTTTCTCCCCGCGAGTGCTCCGTCTGAGCCTCGATCGAGTGACTGACAACGGTGAGTACTACATTTCATTCCATCACCATCAGATGGGCGTTGCACGGGTGAAGGGGTGCCGATTGGCATATGAAGGATCCGAAATAACTAGCATGTCATCGTGGCATTACACAATGAATCCAAGCAGTGTGATCATGGGCTTTGCAATCAAGGAACCTTATTCGAGACGCCAGCGACCTTACACGGTAAAGGAAATACTAGATTTGGATCATGTTCATAAATATTTATCATAAACTATACCAAAAATGGCCATGAAATGGGCTTAGATTTACCCATTTTACTAAGAAACGTGACCATAATTTATTGACTACTCGTCACGCGCATGTGTCACAGAAGGCCGTCGCTCGCTGTGGACGACGTCGACTGCGAGTCAATCCCCCTTTGTTACCCCTCAGCTCATCGTTGCTTTCGGCGACGCAAATGCAATTATGCGGAGTCTTCCGTTTCCAGTAGCTGCCACATTCGACCATGAAGTACCAAGTGAACATGGAACACCGTTCAGCCCTGCTAGTGATATTCCTATTGATCCTGCACTCGCCGGGCCACTACCCATCGACCCAGCTATCATGGGCAACGAAGCCGTTCAGTTAAATGTTTCGCAGCAGGTAAGTTATGCTTGATGATTGAATATGTCATACCGCGCAGGCGCCAAACGCGTCGCGTGTTGTAATTAGAACTCTTTGCAAGACGGCTCATATACTTGCAATTAGGGTCCACCCGTGCACATTCCAGAGGATTTTATTCCACCTCACCCTCGACACTACTCTCAGGAGCCTTCACAATATGACCAAGGTCCCCGTGGCGATCCATTTGCGCCCCAACCTGTGCCTTATCTACATATTCAAGAAGAAGTCGTTCCGCCACCCATCAAGCCACCAAAGAGAAAGCGAAAACCCCGGCGAGAACCCGAGTGCGGGTTTTGTCAGGGGGATGACAAGAGGAACAAGGAGGCTGAACCCGAGGTCATGGTCACTTGTGTAGAATGCGGTCGCAGTGGTATGTGTAGTCACCCACAAAATTGAAATTTTGACAAAACTTACAACTAGGTCATCCGAGCTGCTTGCAACTTGGCGCTATAGCAGACACTATTCGTTCATATCCTTGGAAGTGCACCGAATGTAAAACTTGCGAAATTTGTCAAGAAAAAGGCGATGATGTGAGTAAGCCCCCTTAACTGTTAGAAATTGCTCATGTTCATAACAACACAGGAGAGAATACTACTGTGCGACTTTTGTGATCGAGGTGTGTTCTATACGTCATCTGTATCTTGGACAATGACTAAGTTACCAAATCAATCAGGGTGGCATATGGATTGTATGCAGCCTCCCCTGGAAGAAACGCCTCCCGGAACATGGCACTGCCCAATGTGCCACCAATCTCTCTTTCCTTTAGAATCCGACGTTGCATCCACCACAAATTCCGATCCCCAAGATAGAGACGAGGCAACTGCCGAGCCTGAAGTGGATGTTGAAGTTGACGATGGTGATGACGATTCGTCTGAAGACTCTTCGGACTCTGAATCTGCATCCGATGATACCAATACTGTGCAAGCACCGACACCACGCCAGCGACCCAGCCAGCGAATAAAGAAGCCGCCAAAGCGTAGAATTGAACAGCCAACCCCACGGCCTCTCAAACGCATCCGCCTGCGCTCGCCTGCGGCACACCCGCTCGTCGTACGTCTGCGAATCCCTCCAAAGGGTAAGGGCAAAGAGCGAGAAGAAGACCCCGACAGAAATATCTTCGAGGACTTCCTCAACCCTGCTGATAGGGACATGTCAAAAACAGGGATCACAGACTTTGACAGAGCACGATTTGATAAAAGTTGTCTGGCGGCTGAGGTTTTCTCTTGTCCTCTCGTGCTCATGAACAATGAGCTAACTCCTTTACACAGGAAAAACTTGCACCACCTCAATCAGCACCATCAATTGACACACCTGATCCTCCAATAGCTGGTCCTTCGTCTCGTCCCCTACGGTCTCACGCTCTCCAACACATAACAATACCTTCCTCAATACCAGCTCGCTCGCCAGTACCTTCCACACCTGGTGCGATTCCGCACACACCTTCCACCATCCCTGCTACCCCGTCGGGTTTCCCAACGCCTCCCTCCACGTTACGCATCCGGATCATCCGCTTCGGGAAGTATGATATCCACCCGTGGTACGATGCCCCCTTTCCGGAAGAGTTCTCAAATATCCCGGATGGACGACTGTGGTTCTGTGAATTTTGCCTCAAATATATGAGAAGTGGCTTTGCTTTTGGTAGACATAGCGTGAGTTAGGCCCATCACATGGGGGTATATGTGAGTACTGACTACTTCGCAGATGAAATGCAAAACACGACATCCACCAGGCGACGAGATTTATCGCGATGGTGCCATGTCTATTTTCGAAGTAGACGGACGCAAGAACAAGATATACTGCCAGAATCTTTGCTTGTTGTCGAAGATGTTCCTAGATCACAAGTCACTCTTCTATGACGTCGAACCATTTTTGTTCTACGTTATTACAGAAACTGACGATATGGGCGCACGTTTTGTTGGGTACTTCAGTAAAGAGAAGTGTTCTCCGAAGGACTACAACGTCAGTTGTATCATGGCGTTGCCTGTGAGGCAGAGACAAGGATGGGGGAATTTCTTGATCGATTTCAGTGAGCACTCGTAACATAAGGTCACATCGATACAAGTTGACATTTGACTTTAGGTTATCTTCTCTCCAAGAAGGAACAACGCGCGGGATCACCCGAGAAGCCACTCTCAGGGCTTGGTCAACTGGGGTACAAGAACTATTGGACCCTCGCACTCATGCGATACCTTCATACATCACCGGAAAACCCAACCCTTGAAGGTATGTTTCTAAGCTTCCTCAAATATCGAGCGCGTTGACATTCATCATCGACAGCTATCAGCAAGGGCACATCTATGACCATCGAAGATATTTATAATACCCTTCACGACCAGGGAATGATCTCTGTGCAATCTGTTACACCGCCTATGAGACCTACACCAGGGCAAGCTATCAAGTTCCCACGAGGGCGCAAGAACGGCATTGCGCGGCGTCACCTTCAGCGGCAGAGCACGCTAAACAAGGAGGAGGAGGCCGGAAGTAAGGCCAACACACCCTTTGTCCCCCCTACGCGGTATCAGATTACCTGGGATCCTGAGAAGGTGCAACACTACCTTGGGGCGTGGGAGAAGAAGGGATACATGAAGCTGAAACCGGAACGGTTGAAATGGACGCCGTTTGTGCTGGCACGGACAAAAGCTGGCGGGGAAGTTTTGCAAGCGGAGCTGGGTGCCGGCATGGGTGCTCTAAACGGCGTTGCGGAAACACCAATCCCAGTCACTGATCAGGTGGACAATCAGACGCCGGCCCCTGGTTCTGCCGAACCCTCCGTCAGCGTATCTGAGGCAGCGCCTACAGACACTCATCATGTCGTAGACACTCCTGCAGCGCGTCTGTTTGATGACCTCATAACCGAAAACCCTGAAACTCCTGTGACAAAGAAGCAATTGCGGAGTCGCGTTAAAGGAGGCGAAGTGCCTCGGTCCGTCTTCTCGCGAACGCAGTCGAGTCGTAACACGATCACGCGCACTGCCCTCCAACGACACACACGTTCTGTATCGGCTCGCCCTATTACTGGCATCGACGGTGCGGTCAACAATGCTGCCCCTCAAACTGATGAGCTGGCAGAACAATCGAGTCCTGATATTCCTGCCAAACGGCGACGAGGACGGGCACGGATAAAGCCACCGGATGATGCGTTATCAGCGGTATCTGAGTCTGGGAGGATGACTGTTTCACCGTCACCATCAAGACCCCTGACTCGAGTCAAACGCAGGAGGATAGAATCGCCTGTGTCAGAAACCCCTTCAGAGCGTGTGGAAGGCCGTGCTGAGCTGCCTGATGGTCCTACTCACTCCAACGGTCACATTAACCCCGTCAGTGAGGTCGGTCAGGAGGAAGATGTCTCTCATCATTCATCCGGATCATCTGGTTCTGTCAATAATGGCGCTCAATCTCCTCGAGTGGAGACGACCTCGTCTATGTCAGAACTAGATACACGATCCTCACTTGCTCAGTCGCAACCACCGGATCCCGAGATTAAGTCGGAGGAAGCGGATACGCCTCTCACCGGCATAACCAGTCGACACAGCGTACCAAGCGACGACACCTTGTTCGTTGTGGAGACTGCAAACGGGGTAGGGAGCAAGGACTCTGGGGGCTCTGATATTATCGGAGCCGTGCACTCACCCACTTCTCAAACTACCTGGAGGGAAAGTGCTGGTCAAGACTCAGTGCCCATTTGTTCCGCTCCAACATTATCCAACGATCTCGATCAATATTCTGATCTGGACGCGGAGGGAGAGCCGGACGACGAGGTTGAATGAAAAGTTATCTAAATTCTGGTCACTACTGCTACTATATCATGATCTCTAGTACTTCGTATTGCTACATACATTGTCTGTACCTTACTTACTTTTGTCGGAATCAATCGGAAGAATGTGAACTAGAACTGCTTGACACGACCTAACCTGGTCCACCCAGGCGAACTGGTACATGGTGATTTGTTGTGTGACCGGGTTTGTTTGGCGGCGACTTTAGAACCAAACAGCCCGCCTTTTCTCAAGCCGAGCCACAACACACGTACGAGCGGTTCACGCTGGTTCATTGTGGTTCACAGCCTGGCCTATGGAATATGGAAACCAACAAGTGAGTGCTAATCTCGTAATGTCCAGACTCCACACCCCCTTCCGCTTGCGGTCACCGATGTGCGAGATGTCAATAACAATGCTTGTACCTGCAGTAGCGACCCAAGCATGGCTTTTGGCCATCTTCAACGAGACCCAAACCTGCAGACTAATGTCAGCAATGTCTCGGTACGCTGTATATTGCTTCGAAGAAGCCTTAAGCCACTGATATCATATCGACTTCAATGAATGATATGTAGAGTTTGAATCAAGCGCTGGGCTCGCATCTTAACCCTACCATCAACGGGCGTCCCCAATTCCATGACGGCGGAGCATATAGGCTTTCTGATTCACCGCCGACAATTTTGGATCAAGCTTCACGATCTACCCAACCGATAGGTGGTCCTTCTCATTCTTCACCCATTCACGAGTTTTCGGTACTCCCAACCAACGAAACTCAAACTACCAGTGGGCCCAAACGTAAGCAGACTGACGGCTTGGCTCCCAGTGGTAGTTCACAATCAGGCAAAAGACGGAGAGAAGGGGAGGACATAAATGACCCCTTTGACACCGATGGTGCGCACGGTTCTAAACACTGGACTGACGACGAGAAGACAAAATTGTTTAACTGGCTCATGGGTGTTGGGGAAGATAACCACTGGAGTGCACTTCGGGCTACAAAGAACTCGTGTCTTCGCGAGGTGTGTATTCACTTGAGATGGTGCACTAATGTGTGACTTACTCGGCGATAGTGTGCCATTGAGGTATTTGGTGGCAAGAAGACTTATCAGGCGCTAAAAGGATGTTATGAACGAAATTTCAATTTATTTAAACAGATCTATGCATTCGAAAGTTTTCACGCGCAACTGGGGAATGGTCCTGTCAGCTTGACGAATGAAGCAGACAGGTTGCGAGAATATGAACGGCGATTACAAATTGCTCGCAAAGGCGGTTGCGACGTTGGCAATGTGGGTGTCAAGACGATTGACCATTGGCATAGGTCAGGCTGGTATACTTTGTTCCACAGAAGGTGAGTCGCCTTTCTCTTGATTGCAGGATGCTCTAAGATAGCCTGACTAGATGGAATGGTGATCCCGCCACTACTAGTACACGACCCGCAAACCGCCAAAATAACGTCCCAGGGGCGACCAATTCCCACGGCGGCGAAGATGACGATGACGATTCATTAGAAGCAACGGAACCAATTCCAATTCTTCAACCTCAAATTCAACCTCAGAGCACACTATCTCAACCTCAAGTTCAACAAGTTCATTCACAAGCGCGCCCTCCTACCTTCGTTTTCACATCACAACCCTCCATTGCAAATAAGACTAATACCAACGAGCTTCCGATACAGGAAGCAGGACCATCAAATACCCCAAGTCGAGCCGTCTTCCCAAACGTACCGTCGCCAAGCAGTGATACGTCTGTTATCAATTTTACTTTACCACAAAACATGATGGCTGCATGCTTGCAGCTTTTGCAAGCGCAGGTTCAGCACAGCAAACTCAAGCTAGAGTATCTTAGGAGACGGGAGGAAAGGGAAGAAAGAGACAGTACTGCTCGCAAAGATGCCGAGCGTGCAAGACTGGAAAGAGAAGCCGCCGAGTGGGAGCACACAAAAGAGACAGCTAATGTCAAGCACAGAGCCCAACTTGCAACAGATGTATTGGCGAATCCGGTGGTAGACGGATCTGTGCGCCAGGCTGCGGCCGATTATCTTAAAAGACTATTTGCTTCGGACTGATTCGGACGTATGGACAACAAGTACTATATAATACTGGATTGTGAAGTGGTTCGCCACCATATCACAGACCATTGATTGTGGGTCATTTCTTGTCAGTAAGTAGTTTATCGTTTTATCGAATTCATATTTACATGGTTGTGTTGTAGCTGAGTGTTGTTTCATCATGAAGCCAGCTACATAATTTTGATCCAATATAAAGGTGTGTCTAAGGAATTGTTCGCTGGCAAATATTGTTAGCATTACGACTAGCAGATGCTCAACCATATCCGATAGCAAGATCTAGGCAGTATCCGGCTAGTATGCATACTCTGACGCATGTACCGGTGAAGCTATGTTCCCTCAATGATCACTGGGTGAGTGGATCTCTGACTACAAGCAAGAAAACTCCCACAAGCGCTCGGCCATCGAACCTTCAGAGACGATCAGCAAAGAGAACTTGATCAAACATCTAGATGACGACTGGTGGGTTCCGGATCCGGTCCATTCTTGTCGGATTTTGCGCCATGTACAGAACCTTTTCCATCAGTCAGTGCTATGCTGGCGGAAAACATCTTCTCTAAGAAGTACAGAGGATGAGACGCATCCACTCAACCGGTGATGTTAGCCACGATCCACCTGTCGAAATCAAACGTAAGACGGAGGATGCCGCTATCGGATGGAGCACAGACAGGCTGAACAACGGATTTTTGATAGCGTCAATGCGATCATCCGCGAGAACGAATGCTGATTTCAAGGAACGCACCTCATCACCATTGAACGGGTCTAACATGTATTCAATTGAACTACCTTTTTTACAGCTTACAATTTCGAAACAGCTGTGTCCTACTCAAACGGCCGAACGTTGTCCTGCTTGTCCCCGCATTACAAGAAGCTGTCGATTGATAATGTCCTCAGCAAGCCAAGCTGTACTATCATAATTATTACCCGCGACAGTCAGTTTGTTCTCAGGTCTCAGAAGTTAGATGGGTCATCATGCCCATGATATGGGTGCATAGGCAAGTCGTTACCTGCCGGGATGTGACACTGACTCTGTTTTGTTCTCTGGAGTTAGATGTCATGTGCCACGGACTTGTATGGACCTGTGAAACCCTGCGTTGCTGTCGAATACGTATCAACATAGCTTAATATATGATGCCACATTGGCCGCGTGCGTCCCGCTGGAATCCCTTGATCAACAAGTTTCAACTTGGGCCCTCCATTATCTGAGCCATTATGCCCCAGCGCTTCCCACTGTGACGTATCTCCGTATCTACCCAATAAACAGTATAGCCGTCGCTTCCCACAGCCGTTGGAATACAAATGTACTAAAGGGATAGATTTTGGCCTTTCATAACTGTCAACTCAATCTGTGATCATGATATCTGGTGTAGCTATCTGCTTAGTTGCATTTATTGCCTACATAGTTTGGCGTAACACACAGCGGTATACTTTGAAAGACATCCGTGGGCCTGCTTCGCACTCATTCTGGCTAGGTGACACTCAATCTTCTTTTCAAACTGTGGACATGCCTCATATACATCTACAGGAAGCGATAAAGTACTTCGAAGGGCTAAACAGGTGGGGGACCTGGAATTTCAATGGGCTCGCCAATACGGTCCAACTTGGATGGTTAAAGGATGTTTAGGGGTAATGTCACTAACTGTGTGTTCGGGATTTCCCTTTTGCACACCTCTTGCTAGTCGATGCATCTTATTGAATGGCAGGTCTAATAATTAAACATGTATTCAGTTCAACTACCCTTTTTACAGCTTACAGTTTCGAAACAGCTGGTCCTACTCAAACGGCTGAACGTTGTCCTGCTTGTCCGACTCCCCACATTACAAATAGCCGTCAATTGATAATGTCCTTCAGATTCTTTGTCGCGGGCCCTCAGCAAGCCAAGCTGTACTATCATAATTATCACCCGCGACAGTCAGTTTGTTCTCAGGTCTCAGAAGTTAGATGGGGTCGTCATGCCCATCATTTGGGTGCATAGGCAAGTCGTTATCTGCTGGGATGTGACACTGACTCCGTTTGTTCTCAGGAGTTACATATCGTGTGGGACTCGTAGGGACCTGTAAAACCCTGCGTTCCTGTCGAGTACGTATTAACATGGCTTAATATACTAGGCCGCATGGGCCGCGTGCGTCCCGCCGGAATCTCTACGGAGGAGATCTACGATCAACAAGTTTCAACTTGGGCCCTCGATTATCTGAGCTACAATTCCCCAGCACTTCCCACTGCGTATCTCCATGTGTACCAATGAACAGTATAGCCGTCGGGAAATCACCTTCCCACAGCCGTTGGAGCACAAATGTACTAAAGGGATAGATTTTGGCCTTTCTTAACTGTCAACTCAATCTTTGATCATGATATCTGGTGTAGCTATCTGCTTAGTTGCATTGATTGCCTACATAGCTTGGCGTAACACACAGCGGTATACTTTGAAAGACATCCGTGGGCCTGCTTCGCACTCATTCTGGCTAGGTGACATTCAATCTTCTTTTCAAACCGTGGACATGCCTCATATACATCTGCAGGAAGCGAGAAAGTACATCGAAACGCTAAACAGGTGGGGGACCTGGAATTTCAATGGGCTCGCCAATACGGTCCAACTTGGATGGTTAAAGGATGTTTAGGGGTAATGTCACCAAGTCTTCCGACATTCCACCACTCACGAGTTGCATTAGGAGGAAGTTCTCTGGACCGCTGACCCCCGTGCTCTGCAATATGTCTTTCATACGTCTGGTTATAGGTTTTCAAAGAGAACCGTCGTCACTGAAACGACGCGCCTCTTCACGGGGGAGAGTATTTTGACTGCAGACGGTGCGTTTTTTTACCTTTACTATCTTAGTAGTACACAACTCGTTATCTTTCAGCCGTTGATCATCAAAGGCACAGAAAGATCATGAATCCTGCTTTTGGTGCTGCTCAACTTCGAACATTTTTACCTGTTTTTCGCCGTTCGGCAGCTCGGGTAAGGTCGTCAAGAAGTTCTATGGGAACCTGGCCGCTTATATTTTTATTTAGCTCTCACAGAAGTGGAAAGACATGATCCAATTAGGAGACAAGTCTGATGGATGTATAATGAACGTCAGTGAGACTTTGTCCAGAATGACGTTAGATGTCATTGGCGAAGGTGTGTACTCGAAATATGTCTCATAGGTGTTGAATTCATGCGTATGGATTGCAGTGGCTTTTGACTACCGCTTCGGTGTTCTGAACGACAACGGAGTAGATAACGAGTTAGTGCAAGCGTTCAACAATCTGTTGTATGTTTCGCAATTTTCTAAGTCAGGTCCTATGTTAACACACGAATTTAGCATTGATACACTGTTGAACCAATCTTCATGGGATATCATCTTCAAGTCAACCTGGAGATTTATTCCTCAACCGGTTTTGAAGTACTTAAAGTATTTGCCTTACAAAGAGTACCGCCGTTTCGCGACATACCTGCAAACAGCCATTCGAACAGGAAAGACCATCATCAATGAAAAAGCAGCTAGTACCGAAAAGGGCAGCAAGGACATCATCAGCATCCTCGGTATGCCATTCCCTGCCGAGGTATGATTTATGTATGATCGCTCACGAGCCTCGGTGTCTTAGTACAGTCCAACCTCATGGAAGATGCACGAGCTCAGCTGAGTGAGAGAGAAATATTGTCGCAGATAGCGTGAGTGATGGATGGCATCGCAAATGATATGCCAGTTATTAATTGCCGTATTCTAGCACCTTACTGGTCGCGGGTCATGATACTACCGCCTCATCTCTCACGTGGCTGCTATATGAACTCTCAAAGCACCCGGAAGATCAGCAGCGCATCCGTGACGAAATTAAAGCAGCAAGAACGAATGCGGCAGCCCGTGGCGATGATGATTTGCTGCCCAGTGATTTTAATAATATGGATTTCACTAATGCAGTTATTAAAGTCTGTCCACCGCTTTTTTCCAACATACTATTCTCATCTTCATTTATCACCAAGGAGGGACTCAGATTGCATCCTATAGTTCCTACATTGATCCGGGAAGCAGATTCAGACGATGTTATACCACTTTCTCAGCCAATTGAGACCAGATCAGGAAAGATTATCAATGAAATACCCATCTCGAAAGGCCAAGGCATCACAGCATCTATTTGCACTTATAACAGGTTGGTTCGATTAGTTATTGAGTTGTTGGTCTGTAGTAACTTAGATTGTATTTTCCAGGCTCCAAAGCGTTTGGGGAGAAGATGCAGACGTGTGGAACCCAATCCGTTTCCTGGACAATAACAGGGAAAAGTCATCGTTGGGAGTTTTCGCCAATTTGTGTGTATCTTCATTCATTACACTCTCTCGTGAGCTAAATTAGTCCGACACTCTCAGAATGACTTTCTGTAAGCTATTTAAAGTTCTTGCTCCCTCAAAAGCCAATCTCACGCATTGTAAACCAAAGCGGCTGGTCTCCGTGCTTGCATCGGGTAAGCGAAACAGTCAACGAGCATTATTGATTCTCATATTTCTGTGACTAGCTGGCGTTTTGCGTGAGTTCATGATCAGAGATACCGACCATTAGACTCACTCGTGCGCGTGAACTACAGAGTTCTGGAGATGCAGGCCGTGCTCGTGGAGCTTGTCGAAAACTTCGAGTACCGATTCCCCGAAGGTGTCGAGATCGTTCGATTGAATGCTGGACTCATGGCCCCTATGGTTGAGGGCAAGATGCATGAAGGTGTCCGGATGCCTTTAGAAGTCAGCGTCATTGCATAAATTGGGATGTCTTTGACAGAGGTGGTGGGTGCGGAAGATGACATTTGTAATAACTTGCATAGCATATGCTCAACGCCTGTTACGTCTTGTATCTCTTGGTAATCACGCGATATAGGGTAAACTAGTGCGGACTATCATATACCTGACTTTGAGAAAACATTTTCCAAATTGCCCGATAAGACATTCTATGCGAAAATAGGTCAATGGAATATCATATCGTATGTCAGTATAAAGCACAGCAAAACAGATGGAGACGGAAGTAATCGACGAAGAGTGTGAACAACAGGATCGAGCTGCGAAATGCGCGACGGACGTCCAACTTTTGTGTGATCCCAGGGTGTAGTTGCCACGTCCCAGTCTGTCCCAGTCCGGTAGTGACTGTATGTAGCGCAGTCGTAGTAGAATTCAGTCATGAGTATATAACTTCAACGAGGAGTAGTATCAGACAAAGGACTTAAACCAACAAATGCTCACCTTGTACTCCTCAAAAGTGTCTCTTTATATGCCAAGAGTCCGACGACTGTCGGCTGTCGTCGTTCTGGACCTTCATGCCAATATATTACAATGCCAAGAGCGCGTGCCGTCCAACGAAATGGTACAGACACAGAAGGTAGGGTTGGAAATTTCTTGAGGTGGATGTGATGCGAGAATACGGAAACCAGTGTGAGATGACAAATGCATGAAATGTGGTGGTAGCGCGTGCCCAGGCTGTGCATGTGAGGAACCGGAGGTTGCAGGAAGTTGTTGTGGCAAACTCTGCGGTTGACTTGAAATTGAAGCTGCCGACGCCGTGGCGGCACTCATTTGTTTGCCCCCAAGAAGTCCTGCGAACCTTAGCTGACTGACAGTCAGGATTTCCTGTAAGATGTTCTTTTATTCGTGCAGTCAGATCAATCATTGTCCCATCTCTGGGTAGCGAAAGAGCACCGGCGATAGTGATGAGGTCGTTCTTGCGTTTGTACGATGAAAGCAAGTCGTCGAATACCTTCGTTTCGATGTCTTCCTCAATGCGCGAGATCCGAATTCATGAGCTAGTCAATCCTTGATAGCTTCCTCTACGGCTGGAGGAGCTGCAGTGACTTGAAAAATCCCTTCGAGACACATAATGCAGACTCTTGCTCTAGTCTTTAAGCTTTAAAAGTCTGCTGAGTGACCTGGACAACAAAATTGACATTGCAGGAACTCGTGGTACCTACAGCTACCAAGTTTGCAGGTGTCATTTGCAAAATCCGCGAGACCTGAATCCGGGACTCGTAGTTGGGGTCGGGAGTCGGTAGATGTCATCCCGTGAGCCCAGCCGAGTGCTCACTGGCCTTGGTCACAGACTACAGCTGGTTGTGAAATTTGATGTCCGACGTCGGCAGCCACGGCAGGTCGTGCTGTCCTGTTGAAAACATGAACTCTACCATTAATTTCTCTTAATGTATTTGTTTTGTTTCACTTGGAATATGCTATGTGTATGTAAAACCAGCTGTGAAGTAGCTAAGCAATTACTTTTAAAATTGAAACAAAAGTTACGAAATAGTGGACCGTCATGATCACTAACAGAGCGGCGTAACCGATTATTATCACAAAGTAGATTTTCCTCCCCCAGCCGCCGCGCCGCGAATTCAAGCCCCTTGAACCGCAGATGTCTCTCCCAGTATTCTCCCTTCCGACTTTACCTGACGCGCCGCCTAAATCGATACTCGCTTTACAAGGTCTTGATCAAGCTTTAGTCGAAGCTGAAGTTGTCAATCCCTCCTCTCGACTACCCATAATACCCGAAGGAGACGATGTTCACACTGGGTTATCCGAAAGGACGAGAAAGCGCCTCATAGAACTAGGGATTACTCAACTGTTTGCTGGTAAGATCCGTTAATCCACTTGCACACATATCCTGACAACTCTACAAGTCCAGACTGCACTTCTCCCTTTTCTGCTAGGTTCTTCCACCACGCGGAGGTCGCTGTACGAACCGTTTGACCTGTTACGGGATGTATGTGTTTCCGCGCCAACTGGAAGCGGAAAAACACTCGCATATGTGCTCCCAATTGTCGAGGTAACGACTCGCGCAATTTTCGGAAGTCTTGATTGATTCGATGAGGTTAGATTCTGTCAACAAGAATTGTCACTCATCTCCGTGCTCTCATCGTTCTCCCGACGCGTGATCTAGTCATGCAAGTTCGAGAAACATTAGAGGCGATTGCAAAAGGACGAGGTTTGAAGGTTTGCTTATTTTTGTCTGGTCCTCAGTCAGCTTACATTTCGAATCTGGCCCTAGATTGGTTCAGCCACTGGACAACACTCATTCGCTCACGAGCAGTCGCAACTAGTTGCGGACATGTCAGCCAAGTATGTTCCTCTCTGGATCCCAACCCGTGCTTTGTACCCGTACTGACGTTTGCGGAAGACTGTCTGGTGGATCGAGTAAAGTTGATATTTTGATCTGTACACCAGGGCGCCTCATTGATCACCTTAACGGAACACCCAACTTTTCTCTACAACACCTCCGGTTCTTGGTCAGCCTCTTTGGTCTATCATACTTTTTCTTGAATGATCGCCTCTTTTGCTAGGTGATAGATGAAGCCGATCGATTGCTTGCTCAGTCATTCCAAGACTGGCTGGCTCAAGTTCTTGCCGCCACGCAACCATCTCCCAGGATGGCCCCTGAGACAACTAAAACCAAACGCCCAGTTTCCCTTTGTGATTCTCTTGCCCCCGCTTTTCTTCACCTCCACGGGGAAGTAGACTTGCACACCGACATTGATGAAAAGAAACATGCCTCATGTCAAAAATTACTGTTTTCCGCAACACTCACTAGTGACCCGGGAAAGCTTGCGGCTCTGGACCTCCGAAATCCAAAGTACTTTGTTGTGCAAGGTCTATCTGAAGAATCAGAAATCGATGGTATTCCCAATATTATTGCAGAACGGTTCACCATGCCCGAAGCACTAAAGGTACGTGACAACAAAATCAATCCTACCAGAAGCCCACTCATAAATCACAGGAACACATGATAATCTGTGAGGCCCCTCAGAAACCATTAATGCTCTTCCATCTTGTGCACAACCATTCCGTCCGCAATGCACTTGTTTTCACGAAGTCGTCCGAATCGGCCTCTCGTCTTGTCCGTTTGTTCGAATTCTTTGAGGCTGCTATCTCCTCCAGCGAAAGTCCAATTGTCGTTCGGTCATATTCGAGTGATCTTCCGACCAACGAGCGCAGGACCATATTGGAGAAATTCAAGGCCCAAGAGGTCCATCTGGGAGTTCAACGCATTTTGTTTCTGCGGCCTGATGTACTAACCAGACTTTAGGCTCATATGTTCAGATCTTATATCAAGAGGTATCGACATCAGCCATGTATCACACGTAGTCAGTTACGACGCACCGGTGGATATAAGAAAATATGTACACCGGGTTGGTCGAACTGCTCGAGCAGGGAGAACTGGAGACGCTTGGACGTTGGTTGAAGAACAGGAGGTATGTCGCTTCACAGACCAGCATAGGCCATTTTCGCTCATCGAACTTTCAGGCATATTATTTCAAATCTATGTTAAGAAGTGCAGGTCACCTGGAAAGGGTCCAACGAATGAGAATATCAGAGAAAGACACGGTTTCACTCTTATCGGCGTACGAGGTCAGTACACGTAATCTATTATTCCCGCGGAGTGCGAACGATAGATGTGGCACCCTCTCAGATATCTCTGCGGAACCTCCGGGACGCGTACACACGGTAGTTTTCGGCAACCCTGTTAACTGGTCGACGTCGACGTTGGCAGGCTTTTGTAGAGGATTGACGTTGATCGCGATGAGTCGCATTGCATTTGCAGCACTGCGCCGATGCCACTACATACATAATAGTCATCACAACCGTTTTAAATTAGTCATAGATGGCTCACATACCCTGCATCACATTCGATCAAGCTTTAGTAGGCTAATTAGTTATTTTAAGCGACGGCCCGAGAATTTCATCAGCAGTATGACAAGCAGTTGCTAGTGTTAGGCTGGACATGGACTAGAGTACTTCAAAACAGTCCGATTACCAGGTTTCAGGTTAGCATCTCTTTTCTTTGTGCCACAGCCTCATGGCGCCCACTGAACAAGTCAAATTCCAAGATGTCGAGCTCGATACCACTGAGAAGGCTCAGGTATCTGAGTCGGAGTCCGTGTCAGACAATGGTCGAACCATGCAGTCGTTCGTATCTCGGTAAGTACTCCCAACTTGTCTCGAGGTAGCGGTTGTAGCCTTCTGGCCTACTAGTAATTCGCGTTCCACCTTCCGCCATGACATGATTGTATCATTAACCATTGGTCCATCTCTCCTAGGTTCTTTCTGTTTGGGAGGAATAGTAGTCCTCCTCCCCCAAAGAAATCCATCCATGACGCAGACCTCATCCCTGAGGCCACGGCTGGCTTCACCAGTCTTCTATGGTTCACCTGGATAACGCCTCTGCTTTCCCTTGGCTATGCTCGTCCACTCGAGTCATCAGACCTGTATCGACTCCAGGAAGAACGCGGCGCCTTGCCAATTGCCGAAGCTATTTTAGCATCGTTCAAGACTCGACAAAAAAAGGCTGCTGAATACAACGAGCGTTTGACCAAGGGCGAAATTAGCCCAGGGTTGAGGGGGCTATGGTGGTCCATAAAGGGCGTCCGCACAAAACGCGAGAAGCAATGGAGGGAAAAGGGCGGAAAACGCAAGGCAAGTCTCATTTTAGCAATGAATGACAGCATCTTTTGGTGGTTTTGGTCTGCTGGCATTTTGAAAGTCATCGGTGACACAGCACAAATCACTAGTCCCCTTGTCGTCAAGGTCAGAACTTTTCCACAACATTTCTTCCCCGATCATTCATGCTGGTCTATAGGCGATCATTAATTTTGCCACGGTGTCTTACACAAACCATCTAACTGGTCAATCAACGCCTGCAATTGGCCAGGGAATTGGCCTTTCATTTTGCTTACTGGCTTTAGTACTCATCGCGTCATGGTCCTCCAATCACTTCTACTACCGTAGCACGACCAGCGGTGTCCTTCTTCGTGGTGGTCTTATCACGGCGATATACTCGAGATCACTTCAACTATCCGCAAGAGCTCGCGTCAACTTAAGCAATGGAGAATTAGTCAACCACATATCCACTGACGTCTCCCGGATAGATTTCTGCATGAGCTACTTCCACATGTCATGGACGGCTATGATTCAACTCACTATTTGCCTGATCTTATTATTGATCAATCTCGGCCCGAGTGCACTCGCCGGTTTTGCGCTTCTCCTTGTCACGTCGCCCTTCCAGACCTATGCTGTAAAACGTCTCTTTTCCCTTCGGATGAAAAGCATGGCGTGGACGGACAAGCGTTCCAAGGCTTTACACGAGGTCCTCAGCGGCATGCGTGTCATCAAGTTTTTTTCCTGGGAAGTTCCATTCCTGAAGCGTATTTCTGACTATCGACGGAACGAGATGGCGTACGTGAATATGCCATCTATTGCCCAGGTCTTTGTTATTTATCCCCCATCCAGATATATCCGCACCCTCCTGATCATCAAATCCGCAATGAACGCCCTTGCTATTTCTCTCCCGAGTCTCGCTTGTGTCGTTGCCTTCGTCACGTATTCGTTGACCGGACACAGTCTTACAGCGGCGAATATATTCACTTCGTTGACTCTGTTCAACTTGGCCCGCTTGCCTTTAATGTTCTTACGTATGTCGTTTATTGTTATTTGCAGATCGTAATCTCACATATCTTTCCAGCCTTGTCTCTGAGCAGCATTGCTGACGCAGCCACAGCATGCGACAGACTGCTGGCTGTGTTCGAAGCAGAAACGCTTGACGAGATACTCGCCATAAATTGCGACCTGGATGCCGCCGTCAGAGCTGAAGGTGTCAGCTTTACTTGGGATGGTCTGCCCCCTCGGCCCGAGGATCCAAAAAAGAAGGCCAAGGGTAGCAAGATGGGCATGAATGCGGGCAAGCGAAAGCTTCCTTCAACACCTCCACCAGCTCTTGCAGATGGTGGAAATATTTTCAAAGTCACGGACATTGACTTGGAAATTCCACGGGGCCAACTCGTTGCCATCGTTGGTGCCGTTGGCGCAGGAAAAACCTCCCTCCTTCAAGGTTTGATTGGCGAAATGCGACGGACTTCTGGTAATGTTGAATTCGGTGGCTCCGTTGGTTATTGTGCCCAAGTCGCTTGGATCCAGGTGAGTTTTCTGATCAGTCTTGGCATCGGTGACTCAGAGAAAAATAGAATGCAACCATTCGGGAAAACATCTGTTTTGGTCGTCCATTTGAAGAAGAGCATTACTGGAAGGCTGTTCGAGATGCATGCTTAGAGCCTGACTTGGAGATGTTGCCCAATTACGACCTTACAGAAGTTGGCGAGAAGGTAATGTCTATTCTTCGTCTTGCAGGACTACTAACTGATGCTTTTCCATAGGGTATCTCACTCTCTGGTGGCCAAAAGCAGCGTATCAATATATGTCGCGCGATCTATTGCAATACCGACATCCAAATATTCGACGACCCGCTGTCTGCTCTAGATGCACACGTCGGAAAGGCAGTATTCCAGAATGTACTGAAGAAAAATGCAGACAAAACTCGCATCCTGGTTACCCATGCCCTCCACTTCCTTCCTGAGGTCGACTTTATATATACTCTGGTTGACGGGCGTATTGCCGAACGTGGCACATACGCCGAACTCATGGCTAATGACGGTGCATTCTCTAAATTTGTCTTTGAATTTGGGTCAAAGGAGGATTCTACGAAGAAAGAAGAGAAAGCAGTGGATGGTGGAAAGATCGAAGACATAAAGATTCAGAAAGGATCCGCCGGGAAAGCGATGATGCAAGAGGAAGAGCGCAATACTGGTTCCATAAAGTGGGGAGTATACCGAGAGTATGTCGCAGCAGCTCACGGCCCTGTGCTCTTGCCGCTGTTGCTGCTGTCTGTAATCCTCATGCAATGCTCCAGTATCATGTCTTCATATTGGTATGTGATTTTCACATCTCACAGTCATTTCACTAATGTAGCTCGTTAGGCTCATATACTGGGAAGAAGAGTGCGTGAATGTCACAGACCCCTATAAATTGAAGTGCTCACCACTCCCATAGCAAATGGCACCAATCGACAGGATTTTATGTGAGTTCTTCTGTTGCGCAACACCGAAGCTCCACTGATGGTTGTCAATGCAGACTGGCATCTACGCCGCTCTTGGTGTCTCCCAGGCGTTGACAATGTTCATGATGGGAGGTGTACTTGCAATACTCACTTACTATGCTTCCCAGCAGTTGCACGGGGTCAGTGTCTCGTTACGTGTTAGTGGATGCTGATTCTAATACTATTCGCCAGAGATCAATTCAGCGAGTCATGTATGCCCCGATGAGTTTCTTTGAGACAACGCCTTTAGGCCGCATTATGAATCGCTTTACCAAAGGTAAGTTTGAAAAGGTTTCGACCACCCGTATTTTCATTTCTGACACAAATTGGAAGATATTGACACTGTGGATAATTTAATTGGCGGTGAGCGCTTGTCTATCTAAATCCTTTCGTGAATCATTTCTGATGAGAACAAATCCTGCGTTTTCAGATTCCTTCAGGATTTTCGCATCAACAGGATCACAAAACATCGGGGCAATCATTCTCGTATCCATCATCATACCATATTTCCTTATCGTGGTCTTCTTCGTCTTAATCTGCTATTACTATGCTGCATTATTCTACCGTGCGAGTGCACGTGAGTTGAAGGTCGGTCATTTTGATGAAGTTTGTCGAATTTCTACTGACGCAGAGGACCACAGCGTTTGGATGCACTCCTGCGATCCTCACTTTATTCTCACTTTTCTGAGTCATTATCGGGCTTGACTACCATTCGGGCTTACGGCGAATTCGACCGATTCCGCGTAGAAAATATTCAGCTCATTGATGTCGAGAATCGGTAAGAATTGTAATTATACGCGATCTTGATCATTGTTGATATTTTTCAGTGCTTACTGGCTGACGGTTGTCAACCAGCGATGGCTCGCCATGCGTCTTGATTTCCTCGGCGCGTTACTGACTCTCGCCGTCGCACTGTTGACTGTTGGAATTCGATTCAGCATCTCTCCAGGGCAAACCGGTGTGACGCTCTCGTATATGGTCATGATGCAACAGGTAGTTCCGTTGTTCCTTTTTGTTTGAGTCTTATTTGACGATCCACTCAGTCTTTCGCATTCATGGTCCGTCAAGCTGCTGAGGTTGAGAACAACATGAATTCCGTGGAGCGTCTCGTGCACTACGCGAAAGAGGTCGAACAGGAGGCCGCGCATGAGGTCGAAGACAGTCCTGCGCCGGCCGACTGGCCTTCTCGTGGCGAAATCGTCATGATGGATGCAGTTATGAGATACCGCCCAGAGTTACCACCTGTTCTGAGGGGCCTGAGTATGTCTCTCTCTCCTGGAGAGAAGATTGGTGTCGTTGGCCGGTGAGTATCTTTTTGTTCTATGTAACTCCTGTGGCTTATGGGATGCAGGACTGGTGCTGGGAAATCATCCATTATGACCGCTATCTATCGCATGGTGGAACTAGCATCTGGGTCGATATCCATAGATGGCGTGGACATTTCGACCGTTGGTTTAGCACAGCTCAGAAGAAAGTTATCGATTATCCCTCAGGATGCGGTAAGTGGCATGCGTAGCTTTTGTTCAAACTTGAGCTGAATATGCGACATGCTGCAGTTTCTTTGTACGTGATAACGCACCAAATATGGAAACCTGTTAACTGACCGTTTTAAAAGTCTCCGGTACTCTCCGGACTAACCTTGATCCTTTCGGGCTACACGATGACGCCAAGCTTTATGATGCACTGAAGCGAGCGTATCTTGTGGAGTCAGACAGTGATCTTCCGTCTATGACATCGCCCCCTGCTGAAGGGCAATCGGCGCCTAGATTTAGTCTTGACAGTCCTGTCGACGACGAAGGCAGTAATTTGTCGATTGGACAACGTTCTCTTGTCTCTCTTGCGAGAGCTCTCGTGAATGACACCAAGATCCTAATTCTTGACGAGGCTACGGGTAAGTCTGATATCTACCCTGGTAGCGGATACATTCTCATTGATTTCTATGTAGCTTCCGTCGATTACGAGACCGACAGCAAGATCCAACATACCATTGCTAATGAGTTTAAAGAACGCACAATCCTGTGCATTGCACGTAAGTTCGAGCAGACTTGTCGCTTGCATTGGCTTGAATCAAATATGTAGATCGTCTCCGGACTATCATTGGATATGACAGGATATGCGTGATGGATGCTGGGATGATTGCTGTACGTCCACATGTCTTTAAGTTGGCCTATTCCGTACTGACCATTTATTCAGGAATTCGATACTCCTGTTAATCTCTTCGCCATGCCAGATGGTGTATTCCGCGGAATGTGCAAACGATCTTCTATCACTCTTGATGACATTCTTTCTGCATCCAAGCATGCAGCGTAATGCTTCAGGCCTCAAACCTAGACTAAAGACTACATATAGATTCGCCAGTTATTGCATACATTACCACATTAGATTTAAAGTGATGTTATATGCAAAGATGACGGTCTTGGTCCCGGAAGTTTTGCATAAGCATGTCTAATGATTGAAACGCGAAGACTCTACTAGTAGATCCTGGGAATGCGGGATGGGACAAAGCAACCACAAAGACAAAGAAGCGGTGCCGGTTCCTTCCGAACACTTAAGTGTCAATCACCTGGCGCGGTCATCGATTAGTACGATTACTGTCTTCCAGTCTGCCAACGATTTATTGATCTTAGTACTGAAATCCTGCAGAACATCAAAAGAAGATTATATTTTGTTTTTGAACAAAATCCACAACACATTGTTGACGAAGGGTGGACGATACTAGTAAGTGCACGGATTGACAAGCACATTCTGAATTTTCGCGTTTAACACTCACTCACAGTATATAGGATCCAACCTGGCTGTACCTTTTCTCCATCCCTCGTATTGGCGTACCGGTATGCCAATTATCTTGCTTCCCTCTCCCAGCAGGCCATAGAAAGGTGCACTAGACTTTGTGGTGAATCATAGTGTTTACTCCCATGAAAAACCGACTCAAGGCTGTTGAAACCGGTCACTTCTTCCTCGTCCTCTTCTGAAGATTCACTGCTCACGTCAATTGAGCTGGCGGCTGGCGGGCGCCGTTCTGGATGCGACGACCTAAACCAGTCTCTTCTACTGGTTAGCTTGTCGTTCTGTAAAATTTAGTTAGTTCCACATTCCATTCGTAATAGAAATGAGCTCACTTCTAGTTTGAGGATACTACGGCATTTGCCCCGGTGCTTGATCCAGAGTCCGGGGTAGTACCTGGAGCGTTTGTCAAGGCAGATGATCTTGCTGCATCCGCGGCACCGGACGGATGTAGGCTGTACATCGTCGGTGTATTTGTCATTCTCCAGGTCTTCTTTCCGCTCATCCTCCTTTTGTCTCCGCTTGCTAGAGCTCCCGATGATGAAGTCATCGCGATTGCCGTTATTGACACCCCAGCTCCCGGGAGTAAGCTGTGCAAGGCTCGGCGTGTACTGTGAGCCTTGGGTGTCGGTGGGGGGACGTGAAGGGGAGAGCCCATGGAAGCGCCCTGTACAGACCAGATAATGGTCATCAACGAGGCAGTTGACTGTGGGCCAGTCAGTGCCATCGTCATACACGAAAACGGCCGGACACTCTGACCTGCCACAATGTATGGTGTAGGTGCAGGTGGGCGTTTTGTGTGTGATGTGGTTCTGACTGGCGACGCGGTCATTGTCTGTCGAGTACATGGCAGCTGAGGGACTGGTGGTTGATATTTGCATTTTATGTGCTGGAAAAAATGCCCTTCAGATGTAGACGAGGAAGTTGTTGCAGTGGCACGAAGTTTTATTTTCTTTTAAGGCCTGCCTCGGAGTTGCATTGTTCACCCTTGAATACACGTGGTATTTTTTTTTGATTCCGACTTTCTGTCTATTGAGACAAACGTACCTTATGTTAGACAATACTAACTAGTTTAAGGGGTGCCTCTGCAACATTTGGACTCGCGAATACCCCAGCGTGAGGGTATCCCCCGGAGACGTGTCGTCCGTCAAAGACTCTGGGGGACTGAGCTCCCTATCGCGCGTGTCTACGTCGTAAGGTACGCACGCCACTCCAATGCAGGCAGTCACATTTAGTCATGATGGTGCCTTTCTTGCTGAAGGTCAGTCCAGCCGCCGTCTTTTTGCTCAGCGTTTTTACATGAACAGTGCCAGTTGCTGCATATATAGTTCTTCCAAATGGTGGGCAGGACTTGAATTCAAGCTTACAAGAAGCCGTACATTCGGCGCCCATGCTTCCGTTCAAGCGGCTTGTTGATTCACACAATTCAATCCGGGGTGGAAATCAGCCCTGGTTGCAAAAGTGATCTCCCCAGTTTTGCTGAAAAACGTATGACCAGCGACTTCCAATTATACAAAAGATGGTCGATCTGGTAGGCTAGTTGAACAATTAATCGGGCTCGAGCTCGATTACCGAGCATGTTATAGGAATAAGGCTATGTGACGAAGGCAGACTGATGAAGTTGAGGCATCCTAGGCGCTCTTTCAAGAAGATCACTGATATTATTAAAACATAGCAAGGTCACATTTACTGTATCTGAATCATTATGTATCTCCACTCGCGTCGTCAATGCCAGAAATATTACGTTTTACTTACCGCCCTCCAGAAGCATTCCAAGGACTACCCGCTCTTCTGCGAGGAGGAAGCTCTGGAGTCGTGGACGGCCTCCGAGAACTCGCATTACCACCCTCCGTTCCAAGGTTGAGCTCAAAATCCAATTTCCTAGCCATTTCCCTGTCCATCTCCTCCATCTGCCTCCTACGCTCCTCCTCATGCGCCTGCTCACGACGGGCAAGCTCACTGTCCAATTCTTCTTGCCGTCGCCGTTCCTCAGCAGCCCTGTACTCTCGCTCGCTTTCTTCCTGTGCACGCCGTGCAAAGGCAAGATCTGCTTCTTCCTGCCTGCGACGCTCGGCTTCTTCCGCTTCAAATTGAGCACGAGCAAAAGCAGCGTCCGCAGCCTCCTGATCAGCGCGCGCCTTGATGCGAGCAAGCTCAGCTTGCCACCTCCGTTCAGCCTCTTCTTCTTCTGCACGCTTTCGACGAGCCTCTTCTTCCCGTTTGTGACGGGCCTCTTCTTCTTGTTTGCGACGAATCTCTTCTTCTGCACGCTTCCGACGAGCCTCCTCTTCCTGTTTGCGACGAATCTCTTCTTCCCTTTTGCGACGTGCTTCCTCCTCTCGCCTGTTCCGCTCCTCTTCATGCCTCCGACGCGATTCCTCTTCACGCTTCTGACGCTCCTCTTCGTCCCTTCGACGCGCATCCTCCTCGCGTCTTATCCGGTCCTCTTCTTCTTGTTTACGTCTGGCTTCTTCTGCCTTGCGCACTTCTTCCTGGACTCTCCTACGTTCCTCCTCTCGTTTGAGTCTTTCTTCTTCCTCCCGTTTGACTCTCTCTTCCTCCTCCCGTTTGACTTTCTCTTCCTCCTCCCGTCGCCGTCGTTCTTCCTCCTCTAGTTTCAGTCTCTCTTCCTGTTGTTGTTTCAGTTTCTCTTCCTCTTCTCGTCGCCGTTGTTCTTCCTCCTCCTCTCGTTTCACTCTCTCTTCATCTTCTTGTTGCCGTTGCTCTTCTTCTCTCTGTCTCTGTTCCGTCTCCAATTTCAATCGTTCCTCCTCACCTCGTTTTTGTTCCTCAACGTCCTTCCGTCTCGGTTCTTCCTGTCGCCTGCTCTCTTCTTCAGCAGCTTGAGGTTGTGCTTCCTCTTCCTCGCGCTTATGTGAATCTACCTCTTCAACAGCCTTCCGTTCACCCACCACCTTCCGTCGTCCTTCATCCTGGGTGACTTCCTCTTCGCGCTTCTTTTGGTCTTCTGGGACTTTAGGTACGGAAGAAGAGGCAGGAGGCAGGTTCGGGGGATTCTGGGAAGGGGAAGTTGGAGTGGCTCCCAAACCAAGTGCCGGTGAGACAGTCGGCGCGGCGTTCTGATATCTTTGCATAGGAGGAGACTGTTGTTCGCCTCGTGATATCGCCGAGGTCCCGTGTGGGCTTCCAGCGAGTGGCGGTGGCGGCGGCGGCGGCGGAGAAAAATACGGTGCTCTGGGAAGAAGTTGAGATTGGGGAGGAGGAACTGGGGATTGCACAGGGGGAGGCAGAGGAAAATAGGATTGTTGTTGGTATGGCTGCTGCTGAGGTGGTGCGGGTGAGTGTGTCTGAGGTTGCTGTTGGGTTGAATGAGCATATCCTTGCGGCTGTGGTGAAGGGGAATATGCTCGCTGATTGGGAAGTGGAGTGTATGACTGAAGTGGTGGAGGTTGATATGGTTGAGCCGAGTAGCTCTGGGGATGAGGGGATGGTGTTGGCTGATATTGTGGTGCGGGAGGCGGAGCTTGATGAGGAGGTGGCGGGGGCTGATATTGCGGGATCTGAGACGGAGCCTGATGAAGCTGATACTGCTGAGGCTGCTGAGGCTGCGGAGAAAATGACACGTATTGCTGTGGTTGTGGTGAGGGCGGTGGCGCATAATTATGGGGGGTATAAGATTGCTGATATGATTGAGGGGGCGGAGATGTTGTTTGTTGAGGAGGAACATATCCTTGCGACAAGGGAGCGTATTGTTGGAGAGGCGGAGAAAGTGTTTGTTGAGGGGGAGTATATCCTTGCGACGAGGGAGAATATTGTTGGTGAGCTTGGTCCGACAGGTAATGATTGGATTGCCATTGTCCTTGCTCACGATGAGGCTGTAGTTCCGGCGTACGGGGTTGTGCTATAGGAAGCGAGGGTTGGTAATGCTCACTCAGCGGATCGTTTGTCATAACCAAGGGTGTGCGAACTCCTAGAAGTTCTGGAGAAAGCTCATAAGGACGTTCTTGGACAGGAGTCTGTAACAATGATATTGGAGTCGGTGGAGTCGCGTAGAACAAGGGCGAGTCGCTCGCGCCTCCATTATTTGAAGCAGAAGTCCCAAAACGACCAGCACGTCCAGCAATCCCTGGGCGCAGTATAGTTGGTAGATGACCAGGCTTTCTCTGAGGTACTAAATCGTCCTCGGGAAGAGGGGGGAGCACATCAGTTTTGATCTTCGGGGACTGTCGGTCGGAGGGAGAAGGGGATTGTGATGAGGAATCGGGCTGACCTCTAGCAGGAAGTAAAGATGCAGGTAGTGTACTAGGGGGGATATAGCCTGTGTCACGGAGCTGCACAGGAGTGGGGTTCAGCGCAGATGGTGGTCCGCCCTTGGGTGATACAGGTTTATATGACTGCGGCCGTGTAAGACGATCTGATTGTTTGATTTTCGATGGACGACGATTAAGAGGGGGAGGACCATTTGCATAGAATGTCATCTCAAGGTATAACTCGCCTCTCGCTCCGCCTGAGGTTTCGAGAGGAACCCAGTCTAATAAGATAGTTTAAGCATACACCAAGCCAGGGTTATAAGTCTCTCACCATCGAATTCACCCGTTTTCAAAGTCGATTCGATATCGACAATCCCTTTGCCTAAGAGCTTATCCTCAGATCGAGGCTCATCCTTCCAGCAAGACACTTCCAGCTTTCTGTTGACACTGTCCTTACCAGGATCTACAAGAACAGGAAAGCGGAATTCTTCATCCCACACAGGATGTTGCCCGCCCTTGGGCTCTGGCTTTGTCCGTTGAGTCTGGCCAGAAAGAGACGCTTGCGCATATGGATCTTGCTTGTAGAAAGAAGGTTGGTGCAGATGACGAGCCTTGAGGATGACTACGATTAGCGTCCCAAGTTCCTTCGATTGTGACATGGAGCACAATTAATGGTCAGAACTGCGCTGGTCACTAGCTACTGCAGTGTGCACCGCCTGCTAAGTCGGTCCAAGTGGGTCAGTGACAAGTCTAAGTCACGGCACGTTACTGTAAGCTGTGACATGTGACACCACGCGTTTCTAGCGGTGGGAAAACGCGTCAATAGATCGCAAGACGCGCACAGTCGAGCTCATCATCGGACACGTGCACCACAGCTTAATGTCGGACAGAGCAAAGCGTGCAGATAGACTTTCTGCTCTTGCGGAACTAAAACGAACTCGTGAAGGAGGCGCGCGCAAGTGGAAGGTGCGATATTGCCATTTGGCTTGAAACCGTATCTCGAACGCGTCTTCACAGGCTCAAGAGGATGTGGCTATCTATGATGAGGTCACTGAGGACCAGTATAAGAAAATTGTGCGAGGGAGGCTGCAGAAGGATGACTTTGTCGTGGACGACGGCGTGAGCGGTTATATGGACAATGGGATGGACGACTGGACGGGCGCTGAGAAAGACGAAGATGAAGATGACGAAGACGACGAGTACGAAACAAAGAAGAAAAAGAAGGGTGAGTTTGATTGTATGTCTATACTTATAATATCCGATTTTGGCTTTTCAGCGAAGAAGGGCAAGGATGCTGCATTCAAGCCTAAAGCGAAGCCGAAAGCACCACCACCCACTGCCAAGCCCTCCATCAGCGTGTACCGCCCAGCTGTCTCAGCAGAGCAGGAAGATGATTTCATGGCCAATCTTCTTGGAGGCTTAGATGCCGTCTCAGCTCCAGTTGCGAGGAGGCCAAAGAAACGCAAGCCCTCTCCGTTATCAGATCATGAAGACATAAACTGCGATTCCTCTGATGGTCTCATGGACGATACTACTTTCAGCCTGCCATCAAGTGATTTCGAAGACGACTTTTCGACTATGATGAGCCCTAAGAAGAAGCCACGCACAACAAGTGGCGCTGGAATCACTCCCGCGATCGAGCGAATGTGCAAGTTGGATGTTCATAGTGGTTCGGAAAATGGTTTTGATAACTCGATGGACTTTGAGGACATGGACATGGATGCCTTTATGGATGTTGATGACGAAGATCTTGATATCAAACCGGCCAAGGGGAACAAATCGATTCTCGATGGCCTGGAAACTAAGCCCAAGGTCAACATTACTTCGGCACCAACCAAAGCGGAGCCACCTTCAGCGCCAACTTGGCTATCTGTCTACGACTCCCTTGCTGTCACTTCCGATGAAACCTTAGGTTCTGGTTCTTCCTCCTCAACTTCTAAATCTTCTGTCGACGCTCTTGAACCCGATGGCACCCTCCGCTTTTTCTGGCTAGATTACCTTGAACATAATGGCAAGCTCTTTCTCACTGGTAAAATCAAGGACAAAACCTCCTCGACTTGGGTATCCGCATGCCTTGCCATTGAGGGGCTTCAGCGTAATTTGTTTCTACTCCCGCGTCCGCTACGCGTTGAACAGGAGGAGACCGAAGAAGGCGAGTATGTGATGCAAGAAACTGACGTCGTGCCAAGCCAATCAGATGTGTACGAAGATTTTGAGCGAGTACGGAAGAAGCTTGGTATCAAGGGGTGGAAGGGGAGATGGGTTCGGAGAAATCATGCATTTGATGAGAAGGACGTACCGAAGGAGGGAGAATGGATGAAAGTCTTGTACTCTTTTGAAGGTAACCCTCAATTACCGAACTTTTGCAAAATACTCACTGTATGTGGATAGAGCCCCAAGTCCCTATGAACGCCTGTTCGCCTAATATTGCTAGGATATTTGGGACGAACACAAGTGCGTTTGAGCTTTTTGTGCTCAAGCGCAAGATCATGGGGCCGTGCTGGCTTGCCATCACCAATGCGGTTGTCGAGAACAAGGGTGTAAGGCTGCTCAGGAAAGATTCCTTAGCTCTTAGCTGATAATATATTCATGAAGATTTCGTGGTGCAAGTTCGAAGCCACGGTGTCAGACCCCAAGAACGTGACACCCATGGGAGACAGCGCTCCAGAGCCTCCCCCTCTAACAATAATGAGTCTCGCAGTACGCACCGTTGTCAATCATCGCGAAAACAAGCGGGAAGTTGTTTGTGCCACGGGACGCATATGGCGAGATGGTCAGTTGTCTTGCACCTCTACGGAAGAACATTGCTGACTGGATAGCGCATTATGTAGTTCAACTTGATGATCCTACACCCCCAGAGCAACTCCCGTGCTCTGTGCACACGTTCGTCCGTCCTCTCGACAGCTTCCCTGCGAAATTTGAAGCACAGGCGCGAGCAAATGGAAAGGGCTTAATCTCACCAATGAAGAACGAGCGGATGCTGCTCAACAACTTGCTTGGTGGCTCTCTCTTTCAATTGCAATGCTTCTCAATCGTTAATCGGATGTCCTACAGTCACGCTGCACAAAGCAGACCCCGATGTCATTGTTGGTCACGACTTTCTCGGTGTTTCCCTTGATGTCCTCCTCGGCAGAATGAAGGACCTCAAGGCAGATCACTGGTCACGCCTTGGGCGGTTCAGGCGCTCGAAATGGCCACTTATAGGACGTCAGGGCACAAACATGCGCTTTTTAACTGGGCGCCTGCTTTGTGACCTCGCCAGCGATGGTGCACGAGTAAGTTTCACATCGACTTCTGTGATATAATGACTGATGAATCGGCGTCAGAGCATGATTGCCTCCACGACATGGTCCCTCACCGAGATGTGCAAAACTCATCTCAAGTCAGACAGGCAGGACATTGACCCAGATGACACCGCAGCATACTTTGATGGTACCGTGTCATCCCCAGACATGCTCATGACGTTTG